AAGCGCTGCAAAATCGACATGTATAACCTATGATTTTTATAATCAATAAATGGATCATAATTGAATGCTGCGTCATTAAAAACCGACCAATTGATTCTTTGAAAATTTTGTCAACGTTCAGCTTGGAGCTGTGCATTTGCATCTCTTCGCGCCTGTGTCTGTTCTGGTATTTCAGATGCCCTTATAGTAGATTGACGTTCAGCTTGCTCAATGAATCTGTGTTGAGTTTCATCAGGTGTTTCCGCGGCTCTTAAGGCAGCCTGACGTTCCGCTTGTTCGAATAGCCTTTGCTGACTTTGAGCAGGTGTTTCAGTAGCTCTTAAAGTAGCTTGACGCTGTGCCTCTTCAAGACGCCTTTGCTGACTTTGAGCAGGTGTTTCAGTAGCTCTTAAAGTAGCTTGAAGCTCTGCCTGTTCAAGACGCCTTCGCTGACTTTGAGAAGGTGTTTCAGAAGCTCTTAAAGTAGCTTGACGCTCTACCTGTTCAAGACGCCTTTCCTGACTTTGAGAAGGTGTTTCGGAAGCTCTTAAAGCAGCCTGACGCTCTGTCTGTTCAAGACGCCTTTGCTGACGTTGAGAAGGTGTCTCAGATGCTCTAAAAGCAGCCTGACGCTCTGCTTGTTCTTGCCTTCTCAGTTCAACATCTTCTAAAGATTCTAGCGATCGAGCTAATCTTTTCGCTTGTCTTTGAGAAGATACTCTTGAAAGGCTGGACTTACGTTTGCGAGGCATTATGAAGTAACAAAAAACCTATTTATAAAAAAACGTTAAAATACCTAAAAGGAATTAAATTTCCTTTTAAATATTTTTTTAAAAGCAAATCCAAAATATCTAAAAGGAATAAATATTCCTTTTTATTTTTTAAAATCAAAACTACAAAACCAATTCAAGACACAACACGAATCCGAAAACGATAGCCATAAAAAATCGAATCAACTTAAACCAAATCACAAAACAAATCGCAGAAAACCGAAATCGAAAGCAGTAGTCAATATAAATATAACCAACGAAAAAAAAGTAAGTGTATAGGTACCGTATACACTATCTATACTATTAATATTCCTTTGAAATATTGTTAAACAACCTAAAACAACGAAAACCAATTCACGATTCTAAATAAACAAAATTCAAAATCAAAGCCAGAGTCTAAATATGTATAAAGGAATACCAACCAAATCAACAAAACCGATCCAAGAAAATACACAAATCCGAAAATGAAAGCCAATATAAATCCATTCAACCTTAACCAAATCACAAAGCAAAAAACAAACAACCGAAATCGAAAGCAGGTAGTCGAATAAGCTACGAAATAGAAACAATTTAAGCGTATAGGTACCGTATGCACTATAAGTTGACGCGCGGCTCAACGGCGGGAGTTAAGTACATGTCAGGAAACATTTCGTTACCACGTTTTAAAAACCTAGTAACGACATCTAGCGGAATCAATTTAAACTATGTATACGTTAGTTAATAAGAACTCTCAAAAATATTTTTCTTATAATTTTGCACAATTTTTCTTATTGTAATATCGATTCATTCATAACCACATATAAGAACTGTATTCATTTCCGTTCAATAAATATTACTAAGGCTTATTAATAAAGCTTACTAAGAACTGTTTCTACAACAGTTAAGTAATAGTTAAGGGTTAAAGCGTGACAGGTGGTGATAGTATTTCTGATCCATACTTATAATCTCGCCTGTAACCCTTGCGGGGTAGGCAGAGCAACCGATTACTTAAAATAGTCTGCGAGGTTATCGCCTATTCTGTGAATTACTGTACCGTACTGTGAATTACAATGCACCAAAACGTTTGAAGAAAATCAGCTGGTGAATTTTATGTTTTTTTATCGCTCTCTTCCCGGTCCTGTGTGGAAAAATACAGATCGATTCATTTTTTATCTTAATTTTGGTAAAAAGACATAATAATCCAGATATTCTGACCTTCTGTGTTCGTCCATCGTACCGTCGTCCGTCTTGTAGAATCACGGTGGCGCCACCTAGCTGAATTTAATTTTGCAACATATTCTATTTTCCCACGGGAATAAGATGTTTTTCCGCGGAAAAAAGTAGCCAATGTTACTCTACAGCCACCGAACTATCCCCATACAAAAAATCATATCATGCCGACGCTCTGTTGCGACGTGAAAGAAGGACAAACAAACAAACAAACACACTTTCGCATTTATAATATTAGTATGGATTCCTAAGTCTTTGACAAAATTGGAATTAACGAAAAGATTTATAGGTCCATGATTTTAATTGAATTTAAAAGTTCACTCTCAAGATTGCCCTGCTCATCTTCAAAATGAATTCGGGGGGAAGCACGTCATGTTCGTGTTTCTCTCTATAATGAAATTCGTTGAGATAGGCCCCAACTGCGATCATCAAGGAAAATGTGGGTACTGCCTATAAGGAGATTCGAGTACATTTCGATGGTACTGGTATTGGTATGAGCCAAATTAAAAAAAATCTGAAATTTAGAAATCTTTATTGTCGCTGGATTACCGAAACATATACAAACGAACTGAATAGGCTCGAGTTGAATGTATCATTGGTCTAGAGGTTGAAGTAATGTGACTGTTGATCATGAGGTCCTAGGTACGAATTACAGTTGGGCTGAAAAATTGTTATTGAGTTTTGCGTAAAGAAATTCTCAGTAGCTGCCCGTAGTCTGGAAGTTGGCGGTGTCTCAACTTCGTGTATCGGAAAGCACGTAAAAGCCGTTGGTCCTGCGCCTGATCGGTCGTGCTGGTTTACCGTTCTATCGGACTAAAATTTAAATATATTTTATATTTGAAGTAATGTTATTCCTTTTTCGAAGTCAGTTATTCATTTGTTTCTTTAGAATTTTGGTCTCTAAGAAATATTGTGTTTATTATTTTATTATCTCTAGCGTGGAAACAATGTGCCTCAAACGGTAATGCGTCTAATGCGATCAGACTCTTCTTTTTTTTGTATTTGGGCTACGTATCAGTGATACTAAATTTATATAATATTTTCTATCCATTCCAACCTTTGTTTATTTTATTATCCTGAATATAAGATTAATGCAACAAAAAATAAGAACGTCTACTGTCTGTCTACATAGTGTAGACAATTAGCAAAATTTAAAATTTTAATATCCTTGTTGGCCCTGGTTGGAGACAACATTAGTCATATAAACATTAGAATTATAAGACCGGTTATATAAAATAACTCGCTACTGAATGTCAAGCAAACTTTTATAATTAACGTTAAATTCACTCTTATAATGTCGTTTATCGAATCATAAAATCCGTCATTGAAAGAACACTTATAATATGTTTGTTAGCCTAGAATCATTATTATTAACAGAATGCAGCAGAACTGCATGGCAAAATTGAATTTATCTAAAATTCTCTCATTATTTTTTGATAAGTTAAATATTAAAGTAAATCCTTGAATAAATAACTTTTAAATAAATTTAAATAAACAAATATAATAAATAAATTTAACGCAATTATTTTAAACTTAAACACAGTGATATGATACTTGATTTCAACATATAATCTCTCTAAAAAAAGGTATTATAGTTCTTAGGTTATTTATTCGAATGGCTGTTTAATCCTATACCTTTAAACGAGCAATTTTTGTGTGTATATATATATATATATACACATATTTCGGTTTCGGGGGCAATAAATCGATCTAGTTAGGATTTTAGAAAATGTCGTTTTATCCGTGTTTTCAGGCAATGAAAAACTGCTACAATAGTGTTATAATAAGAAAGTAAATTTTTACAACTCGTTAATGATTAAAATAGCTCAAATGGGATATCGGGTAGTCCCGAAATCGTAATATTTTCGTACGGTTCGAGCCCTGTCTTCGGTCCAACTTTTTTCACTATTTTTTCATGTTCCCTTCTTTTTTGAGAAAATCTATTATTTCGAGCCCTATTTTTAGTATTTTTTTTTAAAAAAACGAAAATTTAATTTAAAGTAATTGCACTCATGATTTTTATTCAAATAACCAGTTCAGTTTTTTCTATTATGTCGGTAATATCAAAAAATATTATTCATATTTCAGTATGTAATTTGTATCTAAATATAATTTCCAAAACACACAATTTCAAAAAATCATCGGTCATTCAAGTACTTCGAAATTAAACATCTAAATGCACCCATATAGTGTATTCACAAAGGTTTGTAAAGTTTATTACTGATTGAATCAGAAAAAAACTTTGAATTACCATGGCGCCAACTTTTGATATAATAGAGAGATATTATTGGAACAGACGCTTTTATAGTACTTGAATATAACACGCTACACAGAACACTCATCCTAACCCCGAGCCCGGTTTAAAACTTATCTAATATATCATAGGTATTCCGAGATACGCCGTCAGAGAAACATGTACAAATAACACAATCACTATGTATCATACAACGTAATATATAAAAATCTCATACATTACATAAACACTCACGCCTGTCACCCATAGGGGTAGGCTGAGACTACAGACTTTCATTTGGCACAATCCTGATACACCTCTCTCGCCTCCTTCACATCTATATACCTACGCATACATGCTCGTCGGTTAAGGGTGCTCCTAATTTGGCCCGTTTCCAATAAATCGCCAATTTGGTTGATAAATTTTCGCCTAGGACGTCCCTTTCCGACTCTGCCATTCACTTCTGCAACATAAATTTTCTTCGTCACTCTTTTCTCATTCATTCTTTCCACATGACCAAACCACCGAAGCATTCCTTTCTTAATCCTGGTCACAACATCATCTTGCAAACCACACTCTTCTCTTATCACACAATTTTTCACCCTGTCATTCAGATTCAGCCCTAACATACTCCTTAAGGACCGCATTTCTACTGAGTTTATTATTCTTCTTCTGCCACACCCAACATCAAATCTCATACACTTTAAACTTAATGTGTTAATGATGTTTACTATCAAGGGATAAAAGCATTCGAAGAAGTTATTATTAGGAAGTTATAGTTAGGATGTATTTAAAATGATGATATTCACCTCTCGCAAAATGTCACGTAGCACCTGATGGGAAGCCTGCGAGCCCCGAGCTTGTACCGCTGCCAGGCGTTCGTAGTACCGAGCCACCGGGGCATCGTATTCCACGCCCCTACAAGATTTTATACATTAACATAAAATAGATGTATCTCTCGCTGAAATAAAATTAAAAGCAAAAAAGCTTTTACAAAGCTTAATAATAATTTAACATGAAATCTTTATTACTAGATGAATCTGATGAATATAAATTACATGTTTAATAATCATAAACCTTATATTATGTGAATACATTTGCAATATATTTGTTGTTTTCAAATAACTGCCTGACGAAAAAAAGATTTAGTTTCAAAACAATTTTAAAGTGAATAAAATCAAAACTTTCTTAGAGCACGTAAAACTAAAGTTAAGTAACATTTTCACTTATGTTTAAAGAAATTCCTGGGGTCTAATGTATTGCACCACCTGACAATGTTTAAAAATTAAACTAACCTGTTAGCGCATTCTGTTCGATAGATATCCAACAAGGATATTGAGCTGGGATTATCTTCGACAAGACGCATTTGCGGAGAGACTGAGACGACTCGCGGCACGGTGAAGTGAAGGAATCTTCTAGAAGTCTCTTTCTGTTTACCCAGGTAGTGGTTTAACATCCTGAGCATTTGCAGAACTCTTTCTTCCCGTCGCGCATCGCCCAATCCCGAGTCGTTGACGACAAGGTAGGGGTATATCTTTCCGTTGTGGCCTCGTATGTAAAGACGACGCGCAGACGTGTTATGCTTCTGCACTATTTCGACTCGAGGCATAAATCGCGCTATTCGCACGTGGTAATGGGTATGTTTTGGAAGCAGGAACTCGCCAGGGAGTTCTATTTCAGCAGTCTTTAGGTTGAAATTCGACAAGAATCTACATTTTTCTTCGATGAGGAATGATCTGTAAGAAACCAGAACTTTGTTAGAGTAAGTCCCGGCTATGGTTAAAAAAGATATGCATGGAAAACATGTTAGTACGTGGATGAAAGCTCTATGATTAATAAGCTTAATTGCTTAGCCAGTATTACCCAGAAGCCTGTGAAGTGACGAGTAAATCCTAGCTATACTACGTAATGATGTTAGGTTAGTCGTGTAAGCGGCACTACACTCTCAAAGTGAACGACGGCACAATGGCTTAGAAATGTTTCCGTATTTACCTCGTTCGCGAGTTTCATTGCCGCGAAAAACTACTTACTTGGGCAAAACCTTTGTTTTGGCCTCGAGTATCTTGACCCACTTCCTCAACTTTTGTATTAAATTCTGTAATTTCATAGCGTTGGGTTGTGTGAAGTCAAAGTCAGCGGCGAATTGTGTCTTCATCTTCTGGAAGACGGGGTCCTGCACAGTTGCCTGGGCGCGTCGCGCCAAACTCTCCGATGCAGCTGAAGAGAATGCACCACTTACAGAAGTTGAAACACTTTCTGTAGACATACAAAATGGAGTATGTGTATAAAACGACACTCGCATAGAGCAGATAGTCTTCAATCGATAAAATTTAGGACCGTATAGAAAACCACGATTTGAACGAACGATTTTTACAAATATTTTAAAAACAAAATTGGATTATGAACATCGCATAGCAAACATTTTCTCAAAGACATAATGACACATTTGTAAGGCAATGGTAATATGGTCATTACTGTTGATAAAAGCAAAATATTTAACACAATATATTACATAATATATACATACCACGTAATAAATTCTATATAAAAAATTGATAATTGATAGAATCAGGCGTTACTTTGCGGAAATTAATTATAATAAAGAATAATATCTAATTCGCACCCATTCGCATTAATTAAATACAATGATGTGTCTTACCTGGATTGAAGAGCACCTCCCGCCCTCCCTCAATTGCGTGCACTAATCCCGCCACCACTAGTCCCAGCACCACTACTTCCAACACCACTATTCCAGGAAAGACACACCATCGACTATAATACGACACGTGTTTCGCCTCTACGCGGGGCATCTTGAGGAGATGTAGACTCTACGGCGGCTGACCGCTAAAAGCTTAGATAAGACACATCATTGTATTTAATGAATGCGGATGGTTGCGAATTAGATATTAATCTTTATTAAAAATTGCTTAAATTTATTAGTAGACCAGATTTCTTATTTTAGGTGAAAACTAAGACAGTTTATATATTTAGGTATTATTTATTGCATCGTATATAAAAACCAGTCATAATCCCTTTGCACTGAGCTAGCTACGGAGCAGTCTAATGTATCACCGTACTATTGCGTTAGCCTGAATAAAAAAATATTTTCTTTTTGGTTTAACTGTTAATTTGCAACCCAAATTATATTTAATGTAATATTATACTTTTATAACATTCATTATTGCTCATAAATTCTCTTAACAATTAATTTGTAACTACAACTTAATGATACGTTTGCCAACAAATGTAAGACAATACCTATTAATTTTGTTATGAATTGAATTAATACATATCATAAATCATAACTACTTAATTGTACAGTACGTAGCAGAATGTTAGGATATCGTATAGTTTGTACCATATCGTTAAAGTCAGAAGAGACATCATTTCCATGGTGCTCCTTTTTTACGTGAAATGTACTAAAAGTTTCTGGACCTAAAATTTTAAAAAGTATGTGTATTATACAGTTATAAAAATTGGATACTTTGAGTGTAATATATTTCTAGTGAATGTCAACGTAGTTATCATTTCGAAAATTACTTGCTAAATGTGCGGTGTTGTTACGTGCTTACGTGTAAATATTGTTTAAGGATATATTAAGAACAAGAAAAATTTTGTACTATGATTTTTACAGTTTTCGCCATGGATTGACTCAACAGGGAGTTACTATGCGGCGAAGCATTATGCCGTATGTAATCATATCGATCAGTTAAAAATTTTAACATTAGTAAATCTGCCCTATATTAGGCAACGGGTCTGGCTTGAAGATTCAAAAGCTTTGTTTGAGATCGCGGGAGAGAGCAGCATTCTAAAAACTAGTGTGAAGAATTAAAATCTTAATATATAAAACATTATTATTGTTTGTTCTTATTTTATGCGCTGCCATACCGTTCATCAGATTTCGCTAAAACTTTGTCAACATATCGCTTGCAATTCCGTGAAGGTTATAGGCATAATTGGACCCGGTTGGTGGCACTATTGAGCATATCGTTAGAATGTAATAAAAATATATAAAACACGACGAAGAGCAATCTTTTGTAATGTATTATTTTGATATCGGGTTGATAACTGAAAGGAACTCCAACGAAAAGTAAAATACCGAATGACTAATTTAAGTTTATATAAATATATATTAAGTTTAAGTTATATTCCCTAAAAGTTTAAGTTATAATTTTAACTAACATAAAGATATTAATAAATTTGCAACCATCCGCTAACTAAATACAATGATGTGTCTTACCTGGATTGAAGAGCACCTCTCGTCCTCCCTCAATTGCGTGCACCAATCCCGTCACAACTAATTCCAGCACCACTACTCCAAATATTGATTAAACCAAACTAAATACATAAATACGTAACAAAGCACCTAAATATGTAAAGAAAAGATTGAAAAAAAAAACAAATCATGATAAAATAAACACTTTAGAGAAAAATTCCTTTATGTTGCTGGGAAATTATAAAAAAACGTGTACAAAGTACAAGATATTCCTCGCTTTGGAATACATTTGCGCAATCTTAGTGCAAGAATCCAGTATTCAGTTTTTATTCATATTTTTGCTATATAGATAAACATTTGATGTTGAACCTAGCAGCCACTTTTCTTATTAATCGCGCAGGAACGACTAGCACAGCTAATAAGTTTGCTATTTCGCAAATCGTTGGATTCATCCAAAGCTCAGTTCCTAATATTTGGAAACATGCATAATATATCAATCCTGTGCACAAGAAGGGTCCTACGACTGATGTCAATAACTATAGGCCAATTTTTAAGTTGTGCATCATTTCTACAGTCTTTGAAAAGATGGTTTATGAGCAGGTGTAACCGTTACTCAAATAAAGCATAAGTGAGTCTCAACATGGTTTCTTCAAGGACAGATCTACTGTTTCCAACTTGGTGCTACTTAATTCATCCTTGATGCCATCAAGTTGACGTTGTGTATACAGATTATAGTAACCTTTCTACCGGATTGAACATAATCTACTTTAAAAAAAGCTTCAGTACCTATGTTCGTTTCTGTGGACACCTACTACGGTGGTTCTCCCCTTATATCGACAATCGCTCGCAGGTTATAGTTGTTAAAAATTATATATCAGGTTGAGAATCAATACCGAGTGGCGGACCACCAAGGCTCCTTGCTGGGATCATTACTATATCCTATATTTTCTAACGACATTGAAACCTGCTTTAAATCGTCACGACTACCGTGTTTTGCTAATTATAAATGAAAATATTCTCCACAATCTCATGTCAGGCTGATCTGCTACTTTAGGAAGATCTACTAAGATTGAAGGAACTGTGGTTGCGCCAAAACGCACATTTGGTAGACTATATTAGCTGGTAGTATTATCTTCCTCTTCAATTCCGTCTCCCTTCCTTCACGGGCACGCCTCCAATAGGAGGCTAGACATTGTAGCGTCATTTTGCACGTCCAAAGGGACACGCTGGCCGAAAAGGTCGAAAACACGCCACCGGCCGTCCAGAGTTGTCGACGTGCCGCCGCCGAGCAGTTGGAGCTAGACACTAGATGAGATTGCACCTCTGTGGCAGTCGGCTACAGAACAACCTTGTAGTGACCGCTTTGCATAGTGCAATTTATCGTCTTGCACTAGTGCGAATAATTTGTCGTCGCGCACCACCGCAGCGGCAACGTAGCGCCATCAACCTCAAAGCCGGAGTAAAAGGCCGCCAGAAGATCAACGCCCAAGTAAGTGCATTTTTCCTAGCATGAGCTGTTCTAATTTGTTGCTCCTTCCCCGCAGCAGCTTATGCTCCTGCCCCCGCCGGCCGATATAGTAAATTAGGTCCTAGCAAGTGCATTGCCCAAAAACCGGCTACGTGCTACTTCCGCCAACTTGTTTTGGTTATAGAGAACCATACATATACAGTCCACATATAGTTAGTCTCGCATACAAAATGTTGGGGTCAATATTCCCGGACTCGAATCCGGGACCTTATAGTTTCACCGTTTTCTGGTTCCTTCTCTCCGGATACGAAGGGCAACAGTCACCCCTTAACTATTTAGTGACCATCCGCTTCCAGATTCGAACCCAGGAACCATTAGCATCACCATTTTCTGGTCATTTGCCCGAATTTAAAATTAGCACACCATTTTCCGGTTTATCCGGTTTCTCCAAGCCGGATTCGAAGGGGCAGCCTATGGCCCCACCAAACTTTAATATCAACAATTGATCTAAGCCCATCTAAATGTGCGCTTATTACATATTCACCCAAGCAAAACATGTTTATTTCGGCCAACCATTTAAACCGTTATGAGAGTTACAAAAATAAATTGTTGTGTACGTGATCTAGGGATTTTCCACGACTCTAAATTATTATTCAATACCCAAGTTGACAATAACATAGCTAGGGCATCCAAGGCGTTAAGGTTTTGTCATGCGTACTTCAAAGGAGTTTAATAACATTAAAACAATTAAAATCTTGTACTGTACTTACGTTCGCAGTACTCTCGAATATGCTTCGCAGATCTAGAATCCGATGTACAGTTCACGGATTGAAAGCATCCAACGTGAGTTCATACGATATAACGTACCCATAGAAACTACCGATCCGAAGACTACCTGTTCTTATACAAGCAGCATCATCTGTTACTTCTGACACAGCGTCGTGACATTGCTGACATTGTATTTTCATAAAAAAATCTGTTCTGGCAATGTTGACTGCTATCACAAATATCACTGAGAACGCCTGCAGTGAATTTTAGAACGAATGCATTACTCTACTTACCAGCTTCATCTACTAATTATTAAAGAAATGATTTCATATGGCGGTCTAGAAATAATTTTAATAATTTATGCGAAAACCATGATTTTGATATGTTTTATACTAGCTATGTTTAACTTTTATACTAGCTAGGCAAGAGAGATGGTCGAGTTTTTATTGTCGTAGTTAATTTAAAAAAAAAAAAACAAATACTATGTAGCACGTGTAGTAATAACTAATACTGTTGGTAGTATTCTCACTTATTTCTGCAGCCAAATAGCAGTGCGTGCACTGTTGTGTACCGTTGTGAAGGATATAGGGAGCCAGTATAATTATAGGCTTAAAGGCATTACATCCTATTCCAGGAGATGACTACGCATTTGTAGCTTTCATTGTTTGAAGTTGGTTGCAGGTGGCCGTGGACTGCGGTAGCCACTTACCATCAGGTGTACTGTAAGTCAGTTTGTCACTAGTTTTATAAAAACAATTATCTCGAAAACTGAGTACAAAATGGGAAAATGAAAAAATTTAACATTATCAATTTAACGTAAACGTAACGTAAAAAGAAACGGTTTTATCACTTTATCAAGTAACACGAATAGTTTGATGAATAATGATATTGAAGTAAACACGCTAAAAAACGACTTCAAAAGAATATAAAATGTGACGATATTTTTTTTAATATCTAATCGTTTATGAGATAACAATCAGCAAAAACCACATATTTCCGAAGTTTTTGATAACCCAAAAAATCCTACATGCTTTTTGGATAAAATAAAGCATAAATCTTGGCATTGCTCTATAATAAAAACCAGGGAGTCTCTATCTGATCGTGAAGTTTCATCACAAACGGTTCAAATTTTACGAAGATCAGCCAGAACAGACAGACAGATAGACAAACAAACAAAAATAATTTTGATGTTATTGCGCAAAACGATAATAACTAAAAAAATACCTCCAACGTAGCAGAAATATTGTTGCAGCCGTGATATAATAATTTTACAAAAATGACACTGTAATTGCACGGTTTTTTAGGCCAGGATTAAAAAAAATTATTTAAAGATATAGCTGTCTGTCTTATAGTGTCTTAAATGGTGATTTATATCACAGAATGTTTTTTATAAAATAAAACGTCTTCCCCCTATGTTTATTGCTTAAAAGACCTTATCAATATAGCAAGCAACCCCAAACAAAGAAACTTAGAGATGCTTGTCCAACAAGATGTAAGCTTAATCAATATATGAATAAGATGTAATGCTTGCAATCATACTGGCTCTCTTACCATTCAAACCGGAACGCAGTATAGGTGTATTAGTTGGAAATAGTAAAACTCTTACCTGGTGAAATATTATTAATTAACTGTCACATGTAAACTACGTATAAAATTAGACATAAAATGTTGAAGTTTTAATAGAATCTGTTTCGTAGGACATTTAATCAACATTTTATCAAAGTGTTTAGGCGGCATATTATTATATATTTTTGTCGTAGCCTTTTTTAATTCCATTTACTTTTGTAATTTGTTAGTAGGTTAGGTGAACAAAGGATCATGTAAATAATTTTAACATTGTTCCCCTTATTATATAGATTATTTTAAAATAGTGATCGAAAGTAATGTAGGTACTTTTGTGTTTATATTTAAATATAAAATTGTGAATAAATTCACTAGGAAGTTCTAAGCACCATTATACACCATTATGCAGCAGATATATTTTATTGATTAATAGGCGTATAGAACTAGCAAAGTTACAGACTATGGGTCATTCTATCTTACTCCTGAAAGGTGAGATAGTATCTCTTGTATTCTTGTGACAATGGCTACTTATCATCAGAGGGATTGTTATCTCGTTTGTTACTTCATTATTATAAAAGAACTTTATTATTTCATCAGAGATCGTTGCACATTTTATCAAATTGCTAAAAGTATTCTATTTGTTTATTTCCGTATAAATCACACAGCTGCTCTTGCTAGCTGAAGATATTATAAGTAAATATTATTTGAAGAAAACTCTACAAGCAAAATAAACTTAATGTAAATGAAAATTTTGTAATTTCTAGAAATTAATAATATCAAAATCTAATGTTCATATGACCATTAAGTTAGAAATTTGAAATTGGAAATTCCAATTCCAATATTATTGAAATTTACAAAGTTCATGAAGATTAAGGATGTATATTCGCTAGTTATTGCGCGGGAGGCGGGACTCACTTATGCCGATGCCGATGCCGAAGGTGGAGACGACTTTCTTGACGAAGTTGAGCGTATGCGGCGTGACGGTGGCGTCGGCCACGGCGGCGCGGTGGTGGAACGCCACCACGTGGCACTTGGCCAGCCCCGCGCGCAGCTGCCGCAGCACCTCCTCGTACCAGTTCTCGCGGAACCACACCATCTGCGCACCACACATAGCACCTTAAAATTCCAATTCCCTAATGTTCCACGCATTAGGCCATTCAAATAAAATTTTTTTGTATTTGTGATTAAATTTTTATTATTATATATCATACTTTGTTTCTTCATATTCTTTCATTTTCATCCCATTCTGAGCTATGTTCAAAATTTTATACGTAGTAGAGCCACGCTGTAGCTACATATTATGGTGGTAGCATGAATGGGTCAGCTAGACCGGGGAAGGACCACACTCTCACAGAATACCAGCGTAAAATAGCAGATCAATGCTGCTGTGTTACATACAGTGAGTGCAGAGATCCGGAGACCTTTTTTTACTAGAAACGAGGCATTCCATCTTAGTCCACAGGGGTGACAACGCATCTGCGTTTTCATTCTTAATCGAAGATAAATGTTGTCTATGGGCCACAGCATCCACTTACCATCAGGTGGAATGTGTGCTCGTTTGTCACCCATATTCTATAATTTAAAAAAAATTCAAGTGTAACTCAGCGGGAAGTTAATTTTAAATTAATTACTAAATTCGAACCAAACAAATACAAACGAAAGCGAGTTCATACGAGTGCAAAAAATTGGTAATAAAAAGGGCGTTTTTATAAGCACTCTTTTACGCTAATGTTAAAAATTATATTTATTCTGAAATAAAGTTATAAATAAAATTAGACCCAATGAATAATACAACTGCTATTTTAAACAATATTCAATTAGAATTAAACGATGTGCCCAGTGGCGAAGCTAGGGCTCCAAAATTTGGAGTCCAAATTAGGGCAAGACCAAGATATGGTTTTGTTGTTTTTAGCAGTTTTATAAAAATACACCGATCTTGATCTGTCTCCACTCTTCAGTTTCATATTCAGTGCTGCCAAGAACGTTTTTAACACACAGAAGGCGTACTACTGCTAGAAAGACTGTATGACATATCATCAATTGCATACCTTCGGCGGCTTTGAAAAAAACCGTTTGGGTTTGCTTGAGCGAAAGAAAAAGATATTTACATACAATACATGAATGAAAGAAAAGCATTAACAAAGTACAAACTACATATGTACAAAATTAAAAAGGGGCGCCTGGCAGATGTGAAATATCGAAATAATTCTGTTTAAGTTATATGCATAGAAGAACAGATTACGACATGTATTAGATATGGTATAATGAAAAGATAAAGCATTACAACTTTTCTCCGTAAAATTATGATTGTTTATTATATATTTATTCATTTTAAATTTTAATAAACCGTACAAAATGATATTTTAACTCATATAGTAATATAAATATAAAATTATTAAATTAGCTGATAGCCGTGTTTGTGTCATCTAGCGTATTCTTTACGTACCACCGTGAGAGTCAATCAATTTTCAAAGTAAATTTTAAATACAGTTAAAAATGTATAATGGATTAAGAGACCACTCTTTTATTTACTAGGACTAAATATATACTCTTATAGAACCCCCACCTATGAAGATATAAAAGCTTAATCATGTTAAGCGTAAGAAATAAAGAAAAAGAAAAGACTAAGCTTGTGAGTGTGCGTGCTTGCGTGTAGGCATCTTTATGTATGTAAGAAATGTACCGTAGAAGTGGGTTTACCTGGTCGACGATTCCCTCGAGTGAGGAGAGCACGGTGGGGTGTATCTCACGCTGCAGCTGCATGATCTTGGAGCAGCGCCACATGGGTAGCGTCGCCTTGATGGGGCCCGCCTCGCCCGCCGCCTCGCCCCCGCCGCGCCCGCCCTCAACACATACGCGACATACATTATAATTAACGTGCTATGACCATATTATAGTTGTAGTCCTTATAAATAGGCTCGACTAGAGAAGGATCAAGCTCCCACAGAGTAGCAGCGTTAAGGCAGCATAATGCTACTGACGGTAAGTGACGAGAACCAGAAACTATTTTACTGGCAACTAATTTTCTAAATATATTGCGGTCCCCCACTAGATGGAGTGACGACCTGGTAAGACATACAGGAACTCGATGGATGCAGGTAGCTCAGGACTATCGTTTGTGGCATTCTTTGGACCTATGTTCAGCAGTGAACTAGAAGGGATGTAATGATGATAATGGTTAAGTCTCCATTCTCCAGTGTCAACATTTGTATTTTATTCTTAATCGTGGATAGATGTAGGTGTATATGAGGAACAACGTCTACTTTCCATATGGTAAACTAAAGAAAAAATTGCTTTTGTCACCGGCCTGCAAAGACTGGCAACTATGCAAAATACCCCACACTAAAGGCTTCGCACAATATACATGTTGGAGGAAGTAGTCTGAATCAAGTTGATTGCTGGTTTTCATCGCGTGATAACGATTGTTCTCAAAAATAATGCTCTGTTAAATATTTATTTTATTTTATTCGATTTGTTAGATTTTGTTATTGTGTAGAATCTTATTTAATTTCATTAAAGTTACTGTATTGTACTTCATACATGTTACGACCAATCAGAGCAAGAGGGTAAGCCGCGAGTGAGGTCGATTTTGACGGTTACCGCACGATTAGACTTTTTTGTGTTTGTGGATCGTGGTGGGGGATGAGTCGCTCGCGTCCGTAGGCTTCGACCACCTAACCTTAGGCCCACCCTACACGTGTCCCCCGGGTGGTGCTAAACGAGCGACAAAGCCGATAAAATAGACTCGGCTCCTCGCCGTATGGTAGCGGCGTAAAATCTACCACCAACCCTTGTTCGCACCATGACTCAAGAAATAAAAGAAATGGCCCCGAGTTCCCGGCGCCCTTTAAATGGGGCAGGGGTGCGAAGAATCTCCGGGAGAAAAACCGGCGACGAGGTTCGCCACCCGTCACGTTCTGTCTCCCGGAGGGGCGAAAAGTGGATTGCGGAAATTATATTGCGGTCCCCCACTAGATGGAGTGACGACCTGGTAAGACATACAGGAACTCGATGGATGCAGGTAGCTCAGGACTATCGTTTGTGGCATTCTTTGGACCTATGTTCAGCAGTGAACTAGAAGGGATGTAATGATGATAATGGTTAAGTCTCCATTCTCCAGTGTCAACATTTGTATTTTATTCTTAATCGTGGATAGATGTAGGTGTATATGAGGAACAACGTCTACTTTCCATATGGTAAACTAAAGAAAAAATTGCTTTTGTCACCGGCCTGCAAAGACTGGCAACTATGCAAAATACCCCACACTAAAGGCTTCGCACAATATACATGTTGGAGGAAGTAGTCTGAATCAAGTTGATTGCTGGTTTTCATCGCGTGATAACGATTGTTCTCAAAAATAATGCTCTGTTAAATATTTATTTTATTTTATTCGATTTGTTAGATTTTGTTATTGTGTAGAATCTTATTTAATTTCATTAAAGTTACTGTATTGTACTTCATACATGTTACGACCAATCAGAGCAAGAGGGTAAGCCGCGAGTGAGGTCGATTTTGACGGTTACCGCACGATTAGACTTTTTTGTGTTTGTGGATCGTGGTGGGGGATGAGTCGCTCGCGTCCGTAGGCTTCGACCACCTAACCTTAGGCCCACCCTACACGTGTCCCCCGGGTGGTGCTAAACGAGCGACAAAGCCGATAAAATAGACTCGGCTCCTCGCCGTATGGTAGCGGCGTAAAATCTACCACCAACCCTTGTTCGCACCATGACTCAAGAAATAAAAGAAATGGCCCCGAGTTCCCGGCGCCCTTTAAATGGGGCAGGGGTGCGAAGAATCTCCGGGAGAAAAACCGGCGACGAGGTTCGCCACCCGTCACGTTCTGTCTCCCGGAGGGGCGAAAAGTGGATTGCGGAAACCCGTCTGGCTACGCTGAATGTATGTGGAGGAATGAATGATAAGATGGATGAAGTATGCGAAATGATGAATGACAGAGGAATAGATGTGTTATGTGTGAATGAGACGAAACGAAAGGGAAAGGATGCCACTGCACATGGCACGTATACCGCGTATTGGTCTGGTGTAGGCGAGACCGAACGGGCATGCCAGGGAGTCGGTTTCATCCTTTCAGAAAGAATGGGTCAATGTGTGAAAGAGTATGAATGTGTAAGCCCGAGACTGCTATGGATACGAATGAAAGTGGGCTTAAAGAAGCTGTTCCTGCTAGGGGTGTACGCCCCAGACATGTCTAAGCCCACTTACATCCGAGAGCAGTTTTGGGACATGGTAAGGATGGTGTTGACAAAATGTAAGGAAAATGAAAATATTATTATGTTAGGAGACTTTAATGGAAGGGTTGGGGTGAAGAGGTCTGGTTATGAAAGGATATTGGGAACGTTTGGTGATGAAAGTATAAATGAGAATGGTGAAGACCTCCTCACCGTATGTGCGGAAAAGAATCTTTTTGTGACGAATACTTTTTTTCGTCATAAGAAGATTCACATGTATACATGGGAAAGAGGTGATGATAGAAGCATGATAGATTTCGTAATTGTGGATGAAAGAATGAGGAGCGCAGTCGTAGATACAAGGGTTTACCGGGGGTCCAACGTAGGGACGGATCATTACTTGGTATTATGTCGAATTAATGGTCTTTTCAAGCGTTGGCGGCATCGGACATCTGTATCTACCACTGCGTTACAGCGTATAAGAATAGAGAAGTTACAAGATGAAGATGTGATAGAGAAGTATAAATGTAGACTGAGAGAAAATATTAGATGTTTGAATGAGTTGTGTATGAATGATTTAGACTTGAATACTGTGTGGGATAATATTAAGAAAGGTTTGGTGGATACCGCCACCGAAGTATGCGGTGTAAGTAAGAGAACAAATGAAAGGAAAAGTAATACGTTATGGTGGGATGATGAGGTACGGGTGGAAGTTGAATCAAAGAAGAAAGCATGGTTAGATTTACTAGCAACCAAAGCTGATAATTCTTCTGGTATGAATGATGAGATTGAAAGAAAAAAGGCAGAATTTAGACGTCTAAATAAGAGAGTAAAAGAAGTTGTTGAAAGGAAAAAGAAAGAAAGAACGGATAAGAATGATAGAAGGATATCTGATAATTTCCAGGCTAACATAAAAATGTTCTGGAAACTCGTAAGAACTGCCAGGGGAAATACAAAACAGCCTATAATAAATGCTATAAGAGACGAGAATGGATGTATTCTGAATGATGAAGTTTCGAATTTAAACAGATGGAAGGAATACTTTGAAAGCGTGTTTATGAGTGAAGAGTCGTATGAATTAAATGAACTAGAAATTCCGAAAGAAGTGGAAAGGGGTATGGAGATAAGTGTAGATGAAATAATGAAAGCAATGAAAAGCATGAAAGCAGGTAAGGCAGCTGGATATGATAGAGTATCACTCGAGATGCTAAGGGCTGGAGAGGGAGTGGTGGCAGGCCTGCTGTACACCTTGTTTAATTTATGTTGGGAATTAAAACGGGTACCGGATGACTGGTGTAAAGCAGTTATAGTACCAATATATAAAGGAAAAGGGTCACAGCAGGACTGCAAAAACTACCGCGGTATCAGCTTGCTTAGTATTGTGGGTAAACTGTATGCTAAGGTGTTAATTGAAAGAGTTATGAAAGAAACTGATGGAAAAATTTGGGATGTGCAAGCGGGTTTTAGAAAGGGAATGGGGTGTACAGATCAAGTCTTTTCCATGCGCATGATTGCGGAGAAGTTTTTGGCCAAAAACCAGAAAGTTTTTTGTGCGTTCATGGACTTGGAAAAGGCTTATGACAGAGTGGACAGGAATGTGTTATGGCAAACACTGAACTCATATGGGTTGAGCGCTGGTTTGATACAGGCATTAAGGTCTCTTTATAGGGACTCTAGTGCTTGTGTCAGGATCAATGGGGTCTACTCGGACTGGTTTGGCATCCAAAAAGGTGTCTGACAGGGCTGTGTGGCTTCCCCTTGGCTGTTCAACCTATTTATGGACCGGTGTTTGCAAACTTTGAAAGATGAAGAATGTGGGTTAAGAATGGGCGAGTTAACCGTCAAATGCCTTTTGTATGCCGATGATCAAGTCATACTTGCGTCATCGGCGGCAGAGTTGCAAATGATGGTTACATTAATGAACTGGGAATTAAAAGAAAGGGGAATGAAAGTGAACGCAAGTAAGACGAAAGTGATGGTTTTTGAAAGAGAAGAAAGCAAAACGGTATGTGAAATAAGAATAGAAGGAGAGTTGATTGAGCAAGTGGATGAGTTTGTGTATTTGGGATGTGTATTTAACCCTTAATTACTCGCGTCCATATAGTTACACTTACGCTCGCGTGGGGAATATATAACCCCAATTGTAAAGGTACAATAAAACATATTTTTAATGACATACTTTTTTTTTATTATAAAAATTTGAAAGAGGCAACATTGTTCTAAATTGTAATAGTATCCTTAAAAACTTTTAAAGATATGAAACTTTAAATTTAGGAACTTTTTAATCAATACATTTATCACATATCATAGTGGAATGGTCGTGACAAACTTGCTGGTGGCATTTGGCACACATAAATCTTATTTTTTTATCCTTCAACCTTGGACAGATATGGCACCTTTTATAAGTTGTCGATGGACCACCTCTGGAAGTGGGGCTAGGATCCTGAACTTGAGCATTTCTTTTTAACCGTTTTTGTACGGCCCTAGGCAGTTGTGGTATAGTTGCTCGAGTTTGTTGGCGAGCCTTTACCAAATCAACTGCAAGATGCTTCAAAAACTCCCTTCTTGATATTCCGTGGTCAATTTTATTTTTAAAAATGACATATGCATTGATACCAGCAACGTTGAGAAGGTGATAAAATATAACCATAGGCCATCTCTTTGTACGTCTGCCGACGTTATAGTTAGCACACATTTGGTCGTTGGTATCTACGCCACCTTTCGTGCGATTGTAGTACAAAATAATTTCCGGTTTCTTCTTTTCACTTTCAACTATTTTATTGTCATGATGCATTGACGAAATCAGCAGTACAGCTTTAGATTTTTTTGGAACGTAAGAGCAAAGTGTTACGTCTTCTTGGAAACCAAACAGACTGGAATGCTCAGCTCGTGTTCGTTTGGGCTGGAAGCAAGTTGGAATTTCCGGCTTATTCTTGCGAATAGTTCCAACCATAGTAAGCTGGTGATCTTTTAGAAGCGTATTTGTAAGAGGGACGCTAGTGAACCAGTTGTCCATCGTAACGTTTCGACCAGTACCCCAGATGGGTTCTGTCATGCGCTTTACCAAACTTACTGTATCATTAGGCATTCGATATGGACCCTCAGGTTGTACTCCAGCATAAATTTCAAATTTCAGTAAATAAAATGTTGCCGAGTCTACGAGTGCATAATGCTTTATGCCGTACTTCGTGGGTTTGTTGGGCATATAAACAACACCAGAAAATCTTCCTCGAAAGGCAGGTAATTGTTCATCTAGGGTGACATTTTCAGATGCAGAGTAATTATTGATGAAATTATTATTCATCAAATCAGTGAACTCTCTGACTGCTGCTAGTTTGTCTGTCTTTTGCCTTTCAGATCTAGTATTTTTGTCATCAAAACGAACACATCTTGATATAAAAAGAAATCTGTTGAATGACATTGTGTTTTGAAAAAACTCGATGCCTGTTCCATCGGTAGCCCACAGATCTTTGAAGTTCAAGTGAGATGAACGCAGCACACCAGACATGTAAAGCAAACCTAGGTAAGCCAAAAGTTCTTCGTATTCTAGGAATTTGCAATCACGTTCGCGTTGCAATTTTCCTTGTATCGATTTTATGTAATCGTTGGTCTGTTGCAGTACTAAATTGACAGTATCCATTGAAAACATACAAAAGAATGCTTCTGACATTGTATGTATCTCCTTGGCTGCTCCCTTAGGTCCTGGTGTTTCCCTCATAATATTGTGTCTACGAACTCGAACGCTAGTACGCGGCGGCTCTTTTGCCCACTTTGTGCATTTCTTTTTTGATAAATAAAAGCTATCAGAATCTTTACTTGCGTGTCTACTCAGCGGTTCATTATCGTCATCACTCCATTCTAACTCGGTTTCATGGGCACTTTCTTCAGATTCTGAGTTGTGGTCACTCTGGATCACTTCATCGTCTCCCTCATCTTCATCGGGACTATCTATGATGCTTTCTTCGTCGTCTTCTAATATACGCTCAAGAATCTGGTAGTTAGAAAGACGCTTACTTGCCATTTTAGGTGTTATAACCTAAAAAAAGAACAGAAAACAAAGATAAGTAAAAAAACCTAACCATTTAGTATCTGTACTGCACATTAAAAAATAAAAATACTCACTCGTCCAAAAAAAGTTGCACGAATATTCGCGTGGGGCAATATATACCCCAGACACGATCTCCTGACACAACCACACGACACGGAGCGGCGCTCGTGACTGATTCGCGGCGGGGGGAGGTATTTAGGCAGCTACTAAGAACGGCATGGAGGTAACTTTAAAAATGGCGGAGATACGACGCTTCAAATACGCCGTGGGGTTAAATATACCCCACGCGAGTAATTAAGGGTTAACAGGGATGGTAGATATGATAGGGATATAGAACGACGAGTAAATGCAGGGAATAGAGTGAATGGGGCACTACAATCTATTATGAAGAACCAGAATTTGTCAAAACAGGCACGTATGGTAATTCATAATGCTGTGTTAGTCCCTACTTTAATGTATGGTAATGAAAGCTGGGTGTGGCAGAAGAAGCACGAAAGTAGAATAAATGCTGTAGAAATGCGGTCTTTAAGGAATATGCTAGGGTGTAATCTGAATGACAGGGTGAGAAATTGCGTGATAAGAGATAAATGTGGTATGCAAGATGATGTTGTGACCAGGATTAAGAAAGGAATGCTTCGGTGGTTTGGTCACGTAGAAAGAATGAATGAGGAAAGAGTGACAAAGCAAATTTATATGGCAGATGTGAATGGCCGAGTCGGGAAGGGACGCCCTAGGAAAAAGTTTATCGACCAAATTGGCGATATTTTGAAAATGGGCCACGTTAGAAGTACCCTTAACCGACGAGCATGTATGCGTAGATATATGGATGTAAAGGAGGCGAAAGAGGTATGTCAGGATCGTGCCAAATGGAAGTCCGTAGTCTCTGCCTACCCCTCTGGGTGACAGGCGTGAGTGTTTATGTTTTTATGTGTGTGGATCGTGGTGAAGATTCATTCTTTTTTTGGTGCTCGTACGGTGAAGTCATGAGATCGGTGTCGCGAACCTTCTGCTCGGACTTTATTTATATTAAACGTTTTTAATTTAAAATAAGTGATTGCAAAATAGTAATTCCTTTAGTGACTTTCAAAATTGTTAAACCTTAATTAAATTGTACAAAAACAGTAAATACTTTGTTTTGTGCTCGCATTCAAGCCTGATGACGCCCACTAAACCCGTGGCCACACATGACCATGTCGAGGAGAATTGTGATTCTCCGACATACATATAAGGGAAGGCCAGCAGTGAAACTTTGATGCGATGTAATTAATGGTGTCTTAGATAATAATAAAGTGACAGACACTTACAGCAGCAGCAGCGCCCTGCTGATGAGGTAGATGCGCGGCTAAGTTCTCGGCGCTCTTATGTCTCTCACGTTGCTCGATCTTGAGTGTCAAGTATAATGTGCGAATCGGGAAATATACCGCTTGCGGATATAGGCGCCCCACCTGTTTATTTTTCAGAAAAATTACATTTTCATAGAATCTTAAAAGTACTAACTAAACTAAACTATTTTCATTCTAGGAGAAATTTTTATTTTACCTAGTTGTTTTGTTTCACATAACACGGACATGCTATTTTCTTGCCCGTGACACAAGAGTATTAGGGATGTATGATAATAATTTTGGTCCTTCGAACCGGACAAAAATATGGAATACTAGTTCATAACATTCAAATGACTATAAATACTACATAAGCTTTACTCACATGGCTAAGAAGGTTCAGAATAACGTTGCCGTCGTACTGCACAAGGCAGGCAAGCAGCTGCGGTATCCACGGAAGCCACTGCACAGGGGGGACTCCTACTGAATACTTATCTAGTGCCTCAGCTAGACTGTTTTTGTCGTCGTCGAAACTCAACATCCACAAAACCTAAGGCAAACATTTAAAAAAAGAATAAGTGACATATAGACATATAGATAGTTACATTATATTTATAACATAATGTGTTACTTAAATTATGAAGCATAATCATTAGTAAGACATGTCTCCTTTTTTATGGATAGTTGTACAAAGTATCACACAGCACCAGCCTTTTAAGTTTAGAGTTGGATATTTTATTTTGCAAAAATACGACACGCAATATTTATACATAATTATCAATTTTTCAGTGCTTAAGTCAAAGAAGAATTGCAATTATACATTCGTCGACATTGATTTAAAATATTTAAAAAAGTCACTTACCTTGGCGCAGTATTTTCTCGATTTTGATTCATTCTGATGTCGACAAGCGTGCAAGAAACAAGTCATTGCTGATACTCCAACAGTAATCTGTCGCGGATCTCTTATAAATATTTGTTCCAAATAGTCACCCCAGAGAGCCCATGCCTTCACCAGCGTATCATGCAATTGTACAGCCGCCGCGAAGGCTTTGTTCGCATCTTCAGAACGTCCTAATTGAGCTAAAAGGAGACCTTTAAACGCATAAAACTCAGCAGTCATCTCTTTTGTGAAATATTTGAAGTTGGTAGATTCAATCATCTCTAAACCCTCCGTTAATTCATCTTTTCCTTCTGTCCACGACATTTGAATATGGCATTTCACTTGCTGTCGTATTTTCTGGAAGCAGTCTACTATTGGAACACTCGGTATGGTGTATATTCGATGTAACGAGTCAAGGCATACGCCAGACAGATTATGCTTTCTTGCTATTTTTGCGAAATGAATTATTGCCTGAAATAGGATAAACAATTACATTAATTAATATTATATAGTTTAAGCTAATTATTTCTTAAGTTATATATTGTAATTGTTTGTAAAGAGCGAGTCACCCAAAAATGATATTATAATCTTTTTCACATAACATGGTTAAAGTGGTATAGATTTGAAGTTTTTAGACATGTAGTAATAATAAAAACGAAAAAAAAGTCCATTGTATATCTTATCAAGATTTAAAAAATAGAGAATCAATTTTACGATAATAAATTATGATTAAAAAAAATGGAATTTCTTATCCAATATACAATATGTTCGTAATTAACGCACTTTGAAAAAGTAGTTTGTTCAGAATCGTTTACTGAATCGATTCCTATCATTATTAATATAGGTAATTTTTTATCCCAAAAATAATTAAAACTACGTAAATTACAGTCACACTAAATCTGTACAGTTAAAACAAATTGAAATGGACCGTAACTTAAGGCAATAAGACTTTTAAGAGTGCAGTTTTATTTGTATTATTACTAATTCTATCATTCAATAAAAATAAAGAAAAATGAACTTTATTTCAAGCGTGTTAGTCTTTGCGTTCGTGGATTTGTACTGTGACCACAACATTCTTCCGGAATTAGTATAACTAATTTGATAAATAATCATTGCATAAAAACGTTTAACTAAAAATTCAGTGTATGTATTATGATTATAACATAATATACTAATTGGGGAGTCTGAGGGTGTGCATTAATTACGTTACATATTGTATAAAAAATAATGTTTGTTTGTTCGTATTTTATACGCTGCCATGCCGTTCATCAGATTTAGATAATACTTTGTCAACTTATTGCTCGCGCGAAGGTTACAGGCATAGTACAACTAACTTACAGTAGGTGGTTCGCGTATCGTACTGACAATTTTTTTGGAAGTTATATGTATATCATTCAATTTAAATTAATGTATATGATAATACATCTTAATATCCTATTTAAACAACATAACTCTTCCAAATTTAAAACAATATTTATACAATTATTTCTTTCACGGCTGCAACACGCTCGGAACCAGATAGTTTATTTATATAATCCATTATTCAATAGACGAGTAGCCTGATATATCACTTAATTCGTCACTTTTTCGTGTCAAGCGTTGCTGCATGCAAATTATTTCAAAAATGGTAAGTTGTGCAATAATTACGTGTCGAAAGAACATAGATTATATTCTACATCCAGTAAGTCCTAAACTATTTATATTTTGTGAATATTAGAAACAAAAATAAAGAAATATTTATGTATCAAAAACATTAATCAAAAGTCTAAAATTTGTTTGTAGTAGTGATAACTGATAATACGACGTAATTGCTTATATGTGTGCTCCCGGCGACGCCGATCCTCGTATAAAATAAGGTTGACAGCCATTCTATTGTGTATTATAGTATTCTATGGTATAACACGACTCCTCCTACAACTTTTTCATTTTTGTTTACGTAAAAAGTAGACCTGTACAAAATAGAAGAAAAATCTAACGTGCTTGTTTCAAAAGATTAAGTAAAAAATATAAAGATAAATTATTGTTACACACATGACATAATTTTTAAACTAATTGCCTTTCAGTAAGTCGAAATCAGTACAACAATGGCATTGTATACAATTGATAGTGGTAGGGTGGAAGTCTTAGGACTTCTTAAATACTTCTTAGGACTTTGGTCATTTCGTTTAATGTCTAAGGGTGTTTTGGGGCTTTAGAATTTACTCTGGCTCTATTAACTCCACCTTTCATTTTGTTTCATTCGGCTTCTACTTTGATAGCTTAGTGCCAGTTCTTATTTTATGAAGTTGATTTGTTTAGTTAAGCGAAGTGGTACGAAAAACTACATCGTGAAAACTCCGCATTCATGTCTTCTTAGTACTTGTACGAGCATGTAATGCAACGTACAATTGTTAAGTCATCATTTCACAACTTGACCTCTTTTACATATTTCCGCGGCACAGGTATTTTAAAATCAGTTCGCCGATAGCCATCAAGAGCGCTACGCGTACTCATTATCAGTAGTTCTAGCCTTTTAATTTGTATACTTGTCCATAATATATTTTATCAAACTTATCAAGCGTTATCAGTTTATCATCCCCTTAGTGTCGGTACTACCCCGAACAGTACTTTCCTGTCTTTTTTACTTTAAATGCCAAAATGCCATTTTATTTAAAACCTAGAAGTATCGGCGTGTCAAATTATTAATCCCACTCTTTTTTTTAAGGCACTTTGGTCGAGGAGAACTGTGTCATCGGTCCTTGTATACCATCCGTGTGATAGGCACTTAAACAAAATTTCGTCTAAAAAACTTTTATCTTTAAGGTTACAGTATCAACCCTTACGTACAGAAAAAAGTCTTCAAGCGATTTTATTCATTTAATTAAACAATTTATGCATTAAAACAATTTCTATGGGATAATTTCTAAAACAACCGTTCCAGTGCACGCACAAAGTAAAATTGTTTATATTTTATGGCTGATTACTAATGATCGGCGTAAGTAGTACCTTTTGGGCCGATGAACTTGAATGATAATGTTATAGGGACATACCCCAGGATTCCCGGGAACATTATTCTGTATATCGTTTGTTAAAAGAAGTCAAACTGTTTCGTAAGTAATCACATTGTCTGTAGTTCATTCGCTCATATGTAATATAAAAGTGAAACTGAATCTTTTTATTATATCCTTTTAGACACCATTGTTAATTAAAATAATTTGTAAATTATGAAGAATACAAAATGAAAATAAATTTAAAAAATTTAGGCCTACTTCTTGATTTTATTATGCAATTTACACAGATGGAAAGTTTTATTTATTTTTATTTATTAATTATTTACTTGGAAAACTTACAGCTAATATACAAAAATAATATAATTATAACAAAAATGAAGGCCATTTATAAGTTTTCACTTATATAATACTTTAATAAACAAGATTGTGTCAAAAGAAAAGAAATTGTTAGAAAGTGAACGCCTAAGTTGGGGAACGCTAGAATGAAATAAGTCAATATCCACGTTGTGAATATGTGCTGCAGCATTAAAAAATTTGCATGATCGAATAAAAGTAGTAAGTAAAGTTACAGCCTATATACGTCCCACTGCTGGGCTCAGGCCTCCCCTCATTTCTGAGAGGGTTTAGGGCAAGGAAGTGTCCGCCGCGCTGCCCAAATGCGTGTTGACGAACTTCACAAGTCTTCGAAATATTTTTTTATTTCTCAGACATGCAGGTTTCCTCACGATGTTTTCCTTCATCGCCGAGCACGTGGTAAATCAGCACTTAAAATTGCAATTAACAATTTCATTGGTGCCGGCGGGGATCGAACCCGGGTTACTCTCGCGTTCTGTTATATTTACAGCGAGCGTTAACCACTGAGCTACCACGGCTCCATGATCGAATAATAAAAGAGTTTTGTCTATAATTACTTTTCACGTATGGTACCGATAAAAGTATAGGTTTCCGCAAGTTAGATGATGAGGTACGTAAACCTATTTTACCCAGTAGTTCTGGGCAATCAACACCACCATTAACAATTTTAGAGAGGAAAGAGAGATCTGCCTCGCTTATATAAAGGTAAGATATGAATTTTTTTACATCGAAGAGTATAGTTGGGTATAAACTTTTTTGATTTAAATTGAAGAAAACGCAAAAATCTTTTTTGTATATGCTCTATCCTATCAACGTATAGATTATATTTAGGATTCCAAATTTCAGAGGCATATTCCAAGTGGCTGCGTACAAAAGCACAATAAAGAATTTTGAAAGTTTTTATACTTTTAAAATCTGCCGATTATCTTAATATAAAACCTAGCGCTTTGTTAGCCTTTGAAACAATATCATCAACGTGATTGTCAAACAGCAATTTTGAGTCAAAGGTAACACCTAGATCTCTGAAAGTACTGTACTTCTATTTAGAGCAGTATGGTGTAATTTATAATTATATATTATAGGATTAGGTTTACGAGTAAATGAGCAGATAAAACATTTAGAAACATTAAGATCAAGTTTATTGTTAAAACAATACGCTTCTAAATTATAGAGATCCTTTTGAAGGCTACAACAACTTTCCAAATCTGTAATAGGACATAAGATTTTCATATCGTCAGCGTAAAGAATAATTTTGGAACTTTTATAACACGTATCGATATCATTGATAAAAATTAAGAAGAGCAAAGGACCTAATATGGATCCTTGCGGTACGCCAGACGATATATGGATTGTAGAGAAACGATATCCACCAAGGACGACAGATTGACTTCGATTTCTGATATATGACGTAAACCATCTGAACAAATCACCTCTGATACCCATTGTAAGGAGTTTACGTAAAAGAATTAAATGATCAATAAAAAGTTACTAAGATAGAATCTCGACCAACCCATAAACATTCTTTAAATTAGAAGCCCAGTCCTCACCTCACTCGCGATGAGCTACAAAAGCACGAGGGAAAGGGATGAATTAAGTGACCAATACAATATGTGCATAAAGCTGAATAGGTATTTATATACGAATTCATAAAATAGTTTTCAATAAAAAACCGGTTTAATAAAATAAATAAATAATATATTTGCCGGGACACAGTAGGCATATCCATGTTAGGATAATAGTTACTTAATGCCAGGAATAGCACTACACACGCCAATCACTATTGATTATTTACATAGAATTTAAAACAATATTCATAGACTTTAGATAATTTTCTGGAATGAACTAAAATAGAATAAATCGAACGTCACCATACCCATGCCTTGTGAAATAGACTTTAGTTTTGGTAAGGTGTTGAATACAATTTAAATAAGCATTATAGGACCGCATACACAACTATCCGTATATTTAATGCAAAAAGTGTAAACCCGAAAAAGGTATGTGTCATTTACCTTTTAGGGTGAAATTATTTATGGATCATGACTCACGAATATCAATTGCCGTATTGAGCATTTAAAACGCACCTGTGCGCTAGCGTGTACGCCTAGCATGCTGTGGTTAGAGGCGTGGTCCGTCTGCGAGTCGTAGTGGGAGGCGATGAACTGGTAGTGGTGCTGTCGCCAGGTGAATATGGCGCCCCAGTGCGACAGCGGGTCGGCCACCACTGGAAGCCGATTGCGCCACGTTTTCACGATCGCCTTCATGTCGTGCAGCGACGTTGGTCGGCTGTGAAGGAGTCCCTGTCAAACAACTTAATTATCATTTGCTTGTACCTACGTTTTTTAATTTTTAAAAATGAAAAGATAGTCTGTTAAGATTTATAGAGAAAATTTTTCATATTTTAGTGTTAGAAGATGTAAAAGGCAATTACGCGGTTCAAAGTTACGTACGGTGTGTATCTGCGCGGCTGCGCGGCGCGGAGCAGCGGCAGGTGCGCGTGCGACACGACACGCGGCAGGCGGCGATACTCGCGCAGCGCTGCTGTACCGAGGTACGTAGGTACGTAGATACGTACGGTGTGTATCTGCGCGGCCTCGCTGACCTCCATGAGCTGCTGCGCGGCGCTGAGCAGCGGCAGGTGCGCGTGCGACACGACACGCGGCAGCCGGCGCCACTCGCGCAGCGCTGCTGTACCGAGGTACGTAGGTACGTACACGCGGCGCCACTCGGGCAGCGCTGCGGTACCGAGGTACGTAGGTACGTAGATACGTACGGTGTGTATCTGCACGTCCTCGCTGAGCTCCATGAGCTGCTGCGCGGCGCGGAGCAGCGGCAGGTGCGCGTGCGACACTACACGCGGCAGGCGGCGCCACTCGCGCAGCGCTGCGGTACCGAGGTACGTAGGTACGTAGATACGTACGGTGTGCATCTGCGCGGCCTCGCTGAGCTCCATGAGCTGCTGCGCGGCGCGGAGCAGCGACAGGTGCGCGCGCGACACGACACGCGGCAGGCGGCGCCGCTCGCGCAGCGCTGCTGTACCGAGGTACGTAGGTACGTAGATACGTACGGTGTTTATCTGGGCGGCCTCGCTGAGCTCCATGAGCTGCTGCGCGGCGCGGAGCAGCGGCAGGTGCGCGTGCGACACGACACGCGGCAGGCGGCGCCACTCGCGCAGCGCTGCGGTACCGAGGTACGTAGGTACGTAGATACGTACGTGTGTATCTGCGCGGCCTCGCTGAGCTCCATGAGCTGCTGCGCGGCGCGGAGCAGCGGCAGGTGCGCGTGCTACACGACACGCGGCAGGCGGCGCCACTCGCGCAGCGCTGCGATACCGAGGTACGTAGGTACGTAGATACGTACGGTGTGTATCTGCGCGGCCTCGCTAAGCTCCATGAGCTGCTGCGCGGCGCGGAGCAGCGTCAGGTGCGCGTGCGACACGACACGCGGCAGGCGGCGCCACTCGCGCAGCGCTGCGGTACCGAGGTACGTAGGTACGTAGATACGTACGGTGTGTATCTGCGCGGCCTCGCTGAGCTCCATGAGCTGCTGCGCGGCGCGGAGCAGCGGCAGGTGCGCGTGCGACACAACACGCGGCAGGCGGCGCCACTCGCGCAGCGCTGCGGTACCGAGGTACGTAGGTACGGAGATACGTACGGTGTGTATCTGCGCGGCCTCGCTGAGCTCCATGAGCTGCTGCGCGGCGCGGAGCAGCGGCAGGTGCGCGTGCGACACAACACGCGGCAGGCGGCGCCACTCGCGCAGCACTGCGGTACCGAGGTACGTAGGTATGTAGATACGTACGGTGTGTATCTGCGCGGCCTCGCTGAGCTCCATGAGCTGCTGCGCGGCGCGGAGCAGCGGCAGGTGCGCGTGCGACACGACGCGCGGCAGGCGGCGCCACTCGCGCAGACACTGCGCCGCGGCCGCCTCCGCGTGCCGCTCCACACCTCCGAGCTGCTGCTCGCCGCCCGCGCAGATGCACAGGTACCCGCGGTACAGGTTCACCAACCACGCTACGCACACATACACAAATCTTATTTGACTTTACACCACACGCTGGATTAGAAGAAAAATCTGATAGTGACAATTCGATTCGCATTTCGCACTACATAATTATGAAGGTAGTTAAGTTAAGTTCTGTGCTCCTGAGCACTCCTGTTGAGCTGTTTCAATTTCAAATAGCGTATAAAATCATGGTTCTTTCTCAAATAGCGAAAAGTCTTCTATTTGCTCGTTTTTGTCCATAGAAAAATAAAATTAACAAGAAAAGAATTTTAGGCGATTAATTTTTCTTGATTTTAAAAGTTCACTATATCCGCATGATTGCCCTACTCGTCTTTAAAATGCTTGGACGGAAGCACGACATTTTAGCACCGTAAGGTTTCTCTTCACGATGAAATTAGTGAAGGTCGACCCTCAACTGCGAGCACCGAGGAAAAAGTGGCTACTGCCAGGCGACTAATTCAAGAAAATCGGCGCATCGCCTATGGGCAGGTTTGTGGACATTTGGGTATGGGTATTAGCCAAATTCAAAAAATTTTACGTCATCATTTTAAAGTTAGAAAACTTTGTTGCTAATGGATTCCTCCAGAACAAAAACAGGCTAGAATTGAGTGGTGAAAAAAAATTTTTTTCAAAGTATGATCATGGACGTTCAAAGGCTGTATATGATATTGTGACAGTAGAAGAAATAATGAGATATTGTTACATTCCGAAAAGAAAGCATTACCCTTCTGTATGGGCGATCGAACGCGACATCAAACCAACAAGATGAACAGACAGAAATTCTGAATGCACCCAGGAATTCTGTGCGAAAATGTTCTGGGATTGCTGGGATACCCCGATTCTTTTGGTATCTGAACACAACCGGTTCTGCAGAACAGCATCCCGGTTCCCCCGGTTCTTCAAATAAATTAATTATATCAGGATTTCGTACAGTGTTATTTGTAGCGAGTAGGCAAGTAGGTACACTTGCAAGTTACAATCCCACTAGAACGCAGTACAGAATCACACCACTGTGACGTCACGATCACCTGATGTCGAGCGACATGTTACATAGTTCCAACTACCCTCCTTTTGGTCTAATGCATTATTGCAAGATGGCCGAGCGTGACCCTTCGCCTTCAGTTAAGCGGCCATCTTTCTTCAACTTTCGACTTTAATCAAGGACCAAAAACGTAATTAAAATTAAATTTTTTATGTATAAAAGGCTGATACTTTAAAACATTTGATAACGTATGTTTTGACCTTACCCTTGCATTGTACCTAAATTATTAAGTAATTAAGATTATATTAAAATTCATATTCATAAAGTAATAAATAGTTCTTGGTTAGTCATATATTTTAGTAAGTAGCCATAGGAAAACAAATCCATTATACTACTTTATTATTTATTAATTCTCTCTTACATTCAAATGTGCAAGCACTGTTGCCTGTTATCTTAATATACAGGAACGTGCATATTGCATCATTTTGCGGGGTAGAAAGCGCGCGGGCGGGGCAGTATACTACCGTTTGGTAGACGCGCTCAAGGAGTTTTAGTCACAATGGGTCACTTCGACGGGAAGCGTCGCGCATTTTGCGTGCGTGCATTTTACGAGAACTGTCGTTCATACATTGTTACTAGGCGACTATATTGTTCTGAATATGAACTACGGCGAATTAGTGAAGCTCCGAGTACTAATTTAATTAAAATATGGGTACGGCGTTTTGAAGAGACAGGTTCAACGTTTAAACCACAAGCAAAAGGTCGTGCTAGAACATCTAGGACCGATGAAAATATTGAGAGAGTTATGCAATCTGTACGAGAAGATCCACGATTGTCTACTCGCAAGGGATCGTCTGTGTTACACTTATCGTGACGAAGTTTGCAACGAATTTTAAACTTGGATCTTAAACTTCATCCATACAAGCTGCAATTAACACAAGAATTGAAAGAATGTGATTTCAGAGAAAGGCTCGCATTTGCTAATGAAATGCTTAATCGATTTTCCAGTTTTGACAATATCCTTTTCTCTGATGAGGCCCATTTCCATATCAATGGGTTCGTAAACCGTCAAAATTGTCGTTACTGGAACAGTGAAAATTCTAAACTCAAACATCAGAAACCACTGCATAGTCCTAAAGTGACAGTATGGGCAGCAATCTCGGGCAGAGGAATAATTGGTCCTTTTTTCTTTGAAAATGTGCGGGGGCAAAACACCACTGTTAATACCGAACGATATGTTGCGATGTTGGAAGATTTTTTGGCTCCAGAACTTGAAACCTTAAGAACAGTGAATTCTGGGACGTGGTTTCAACAAGACGGAGCTACCAGTCACACGTCAAATGACTCCATGGTGGTTTTGAAACAATGTTCCCAGGCAGACTGATTTCGAAAAGAGGTGATATCCCATGGCCCCCTCATAGTCCAGATTTGACGCCTCCGACTTTTTTTGTGGAGATACTTCAAACACAAAGTCTACAGTAATAATCCGAGAAACATCGATCAGCTCAAGCAGAATATCCGTGGTGAACTGGCAGCAATTTCATCAGCACAACTGAAGAAAGTTTTTAATAATTTCCGTTCGCTATTAGAGGAGTGCCGTCGTAGAGTAGATGTTGTTATTTTTAAAAAATAAACTTCAGTTTTTACTTTACAATTCCTTAGTTTTATTTTAACCGTACCTTTTGTATTTATTTTATAATCTATTTTTTAAATATGCACGTTCCATTGCGCCAGCCTGTATATAAATTACGTGTCACGTTGTTTGTCCGCAATGGACTCCTAAACTACTTAACCGATTTTAATCAAATTTGCACACCGTGTGCAGTTTGGTCCAACTTGAGAGATAGGATAGTTTTTTTGCCTACGAGTGACCCACATTTTTTTTTTTGCGAATTTATAGGAATTTTTTATAGGACAAAGAGTCGTCGAAAAGGGCAGAACAACGTCTGCCTGGCAAGTTAGTAATATTTTAATTTAAAAGTAGATTGTTTTCTAACAAATGAATTGTCATTCAAGTTTCTAGTCTAATTTTATAAATACATTTAATTCAGAAGTTACTAAAAGTTTGGTTAATCTCCTAAACAAAATATTTCATGTTGCATTTATTATAGCTAGATTAATAGACTCTCAGTTAATAGAAAAGATATTTGAATACTTTAAATTTTCTCTTTAATTTTAAGTTTGAGCGCAAGTGTTTAAAAAATACAACTCTTTTCCAATCGGTAAACGGTACACGTTTACCGAGTGAGGACCTGATAAGAGTACCAAGTCGTCACTCCATCTAGTGGGGGACCTCTTTACACTTCGCTTACTGGTAGGGGCTACCACCCTTAAACCTTTTTTCCCAATACTTTGTCGGTTATTCGAGCTATATGCTCATGGTTACTTCAGCTTACTGATCCGTTGGACTATGTTGGTTTCTCTGAGTGTACTGAGGATGTTCTCATAGGGAAGTCTATCATGCAGAGAAACTCAGACCATATCCCTTTGGATAATTCGCAAAGCGACTTTGAACATCCTCATACGGCCATGTTGAAGGACTAAGTCTATCAGTCGTATCTTAAATTATCGGTTAAATAGCAGCATTTAGTACAGTGAACAATTGTTTTACCTAATTCTTTAGGACAGTTATATTCCACCTCCGCTAGAGCATCTTTCATTGTCGGCCAGTTAGGATTTCTCCACGAGCTCTCTAGAATCAAAAACGGGTCACGGACGCTCCTTGTAAGGCCTAATTCAAGCAATGAGTCCCACTGATTCAACTCTTTAGCACATTTGATCCAATGCTGTGTCCATAGTGTGCATTCCTTGTGCATATTGTAGGATGAAGGGTTTGCGGTGTATTCCTGTTTGAGTTTTGCCATAGCGACGTCATACGCGGCCTAAGAAATGAATAATTATTAAACAAATTAAATTACGATAAATAACACGTATATTAGTAAATTTTACGAATAATTATTGTAGTACCTGTGCCTGTTCGAAAAAACCTTGCTGTTCATACGCGATAGCGACATTCGTCTCACGATACCGTGCGTGTTTTAGCCATAACCCAGACCACATGTCCTCTTCTTGTAAAAGTTCGTACATATCGCTTAATGAGTCAAGAATGTCCTGTAATAAGTTATAATTATCATATTTATTTGTTTTAAATTTCCTTTCACAACGTCATCAAAACAAAACAAAACAAACCGTAGGTGTAGTGGTTTCAGTGTCGTAATCGTAGATTTCCATTTGTTCACGATTACCTCGACCATTTGCTTGTTCAATAGCCATTTGTTCGAGATTCAAAGTCATTCGATGCCAAAGATTGTGTGTTTTGCCGAGATATTTCATCATAGGGCTAAAAAGTTTCGTTTTATATAATTGTAGTTTTAAAAAATATTAATAAGAAATAATAAAAAGAGAAAAAATTGAGAACCTACGGTTTTATCGTAATAGGCGGATTACAACGAGCTAAAGCTTCAATAAATGTGTTAAGCGCACTGAGTGGTTGATCTCGTTGTATGACATGCACACCTGAGATAATGAATGGTACAATTTCATTCATCACCGTCTGCAAAAAAAAATGGATTTTATAAATAATAATGAAATTTTTTATTTATTATAAATTACTGCTTAACTACTATCCCACTATGTAGTGATAACATGATGGAAAAACCGAGTGAGTTAGTTAGTGTCATAAGAGGCAGCTTAGAAACAAACCAGGATATGGACAGACAGGTAGCTCAGATGGTTAGCGCTCGCAGTGAATTTCACAGTACGCTAGTAACCCGTGTTCGACCTCCACCGGCACCAATGAAATTCTTAATTGCAATTTTAAGTGCCGATTTACCATGTGCTCAGCGGTGAAGGAAAACATCGTGAGGAAACCCGCATGTCTGAGAAATAAAAAAATATTTCGAAGACATGTGAACTTCGCCAACACGCATTGGGGGCAGCGCGGCGGCCACTTCCTTGCTCTAAAACCCTCTCAGAAATGAGAAAAGGCCTGTGCCCAGCAGAGGGATGTATATAGGTTGTAACTCTAACTTTAAACAACTAAGAAATAAAATCTGCTGTTATCAACTCGCCTAGCAAGCTACGGGCGAGGCAAGTGTTCAGCAGTGGACTTTAAAAAAGCTATAGTGGTAACAGTAAAACAAATACATTGTAATCGGATGGAAAGACGAGCGTCAAAGTTGTTTGGTTTGAATGCAGTTTATATTAACATATTATGATCAGTATAGTGATCAAATACTTTTCAATGAGAATTATCATATCAGTGGCAATATTCTACACCCGTAACATTTATTATAAGAGCAAGTGTCCATAGTGAAAGTTATAAAGTAGTGGAGTTGTTTACCCCCAGCTGGCGCTCGTCGAGCGCGGCCCACAGCTTGGGCAGCAGGCGCAGCCAGGAGTGGTGCGCCAGCGCGTCGTCCATGTGGCACAGCTGCGCCGCCGCCGCCACCAGCTGCTCCGTGCGCACTCGTCGGGCCAGCTCCAAAAACTCAGATTGCTTCGCCACTATCTGGTTTAGTGCTCTTTGTCTGTTCAATATCATTATTCATTTATAATCTTTATGTGTGATTTTGGCAGGGAACTTGAACGATGACTGACCGCTGCTCTTTTACTATTGTTTAATAACGGTTTGAAATATATTTTGTTACTTTAAATTAATACAATTTTAGAAACAAGTGTTCGGAAAGTAATGTGAATCTCAAGGGGACCAACATGCTATCTACTTAACGACCTATTCTATGTATCTATTCTCTATCTATCGGCATAGTTTAAAAACAGTCTAACAGTTGGGAAACGAATGTACTTGTGCGCAGAGCAACGGCGAAGGCCTTGAGGGCAGTACGACATTGTGCCAGCGCACAACCACTAAGTCTGCCTGCTGCTTACTCTAATACATGCGGATGTCACGAGCGTGTTTTATAACACTTATTTATTTATATTTAAGCGCCCTTTTCGAAAAATATAACATCTATAATGGTGTAACTCATATAACTATAATAGTAATTATTATAGTTATATGAGTTATTAAGTAAAGTTGAGTTCAAATGAGGGCCATGCTTATGTTTTACTCATTTTTTTAAACAATTTTTTTATCCGAATGCAAAATACACTACTTAATTAAATTCAACAATCGAAGTCCGAAAACGTCTATCTAAAGAAAATGTCACGAAAATATTTGGCAGTGAAACACTTCTAACTGCATTTATCTTGTAGTAATAACAAGTGATCTTCTTCGATAAATATTTTTAATTTATAAGTATGTCCATACGTTAATATACGATAATGAGTATTATAATATCCAAAACTACTTTATTCCCAATTTCATGACAAGACCTAGCATATTTGCAACGACAGCGTAAAAAGTAAATATCTACATGGGGGACGGCATCGCCCGACAACAACTCTTGAACCTAGATAGATTCTAACAAAATTTTTTTTTAAATATTTTTTAAATGTCGGTCTTGATCTTGGCCAAAATTTTTTGGATCTAATCTCGGTTGGTCTTGATTTTGGTCTCAGTTTCGTTCAACGCTCAAAATTAGTCTCAGTTGGACTTTAGCGAGATTTTATGTAATGAAGCTTAAAAATGTGTTATTCGTGTGTGCTATTATATGATAATTATAATACATTCGCAAACAAACATTTTATGTTTTTAGAAGCACAAGAAATATTTTCCTGATATGAGCCTTCTTTATTCGTTTTATTTAATAAAAAAAAAATATAAACTTGTACAAAACTATTATATCCTTTATAATTGTATGTACTACAACAAGTAAAGCTTCACGTTTAAAAACTTAAAAAGCATTTAAAATAATACAAATGAAAGAGAAATGTAGAATAGAGATGGAGGTACATGAATGACACTGATAATTATTGTTCCTCAGAACATAGTTCTAAGTATTAATGAATAAATATATTGTATCAATTATTTCCTCAGATATTATAAAATTGTGGTCTATGTATAAATATATATTTTTGTGACATCACAGGCCAAGTCCTATTCAAGTATTAGTGTGATAGGGTGAAATGTTTAAGAAACTGCTTTATACTTTAACTGACCTGTTTGGTACATTCTTTGTTAATTCTTCTTTTTGATTTGAGCTCGAGTCCAAGTCCATATCAAGTACATCTTCTTTATCTGGATCTATGGTGTCACTAAAGCCATCAGCAGACTCCTCTTTTACATTACTGAATATAACAAAAGACTTGCGATCCTCACTGTCTGCTAAATTAATAACTGCAGATATATTAGGAAGAAGATATTTGGAATTGGATAGTCGAATTTGAGTGCCTGAAAAAGAAAAGAAAATCAATACATCACTGAAATCCATATCCAAGTCTGATCAGCCATTTTAGAGACTAGCTTCCATAAAGTGACAGACGATAAAACTGTTTACAATTTTAATATATGTGTAAAAAAATATTAAATGAAATATTCAAAATTAGTGTGTTTGCTAAATTTGTCTTCAAATGTCAATCCTAACTGTGGTACCTGTTTGTGAATGACTGATAGGAAAAAATCAAAAAAATCCAAAAAAAATTATTTCAAAGGCTCGTCATGGGCGGTAGTATTACCAGTGAGATGGTCTTAATCTAAGCAGCTTTGCTTTCACCAACAAGCATGCCTACAACAGTGTGTAGACAAATCTTCCAAGCATCATATCCAGATACATCTTGGACAGGCCTGTTTTTTTTACCATTGGGTGACAAACGAGCACACAGTCCTGTGCATAATGTGGCCCATAGACATTCACATTTATCCTCAATTAAGAATCAAAATGCAAATCAGTCAGTCAATCAGTGATGACAAAAAAGGTGTCACCCCTGAGGATTAAGATGGAATGCCTTATTACAATTAAAACGGTATCCGGTTCTCTACACTCACCATACGAAACACAGCAGCATTACGCTGCTATTTTACGCTGGTACTGCTCCGGTAGAGCCGACCCGTTCGAGCTACAACTATAATGTAGCTGCAGCGTGGCTCTACCACGTAAAATATCCTATAGCAGTGGAGTCATTCAAAGATTGAGATAATATAAAATGTCACTCACTAGAAACACATGTAACAAGAAGCAATTCAAGGCACTGTTTAATCCAGTAGTGCTGGCCAATGTGCTCCCAGTTCTGTGAGCAGATGATGTAGAGGAGGCGGTCGAATATACGGCGGCGCACGCTCTGGTCGTACACCTCGAAGAATTTTGCGCGGATGTGTGGCTGAGGACAACGCAGCCCAGCCAGGAATGCGGGCTCCAGCTTCATTGACAGTTCGGTCATTTTCAAATGCTCGTCTCTGAAAAATTAATAAAAGCAGTTTTGTGCGGGTCTTCCCATAGTTCTCATTGCCCTACCAAAGGTCAGTTTGTAGGGAATCCCATTTCGGCATTAAAGGTCGCATATATTTAAGTATTTTCTATTTATTTATCTATGTATGTATAAAAGTAATTACTTTTCAGTTACGTTAATATCTAATTAACACAAGACTAAACTAAAAGCAAAAAGCTGCACATGGTTTTTTCTTTAAAACCCCACACCAGGACTTTGTCCTGTATGGTAGAGGTGTTTTTCTTATGTAAACTGCACATGGACAAACATCCAAAACGGGGGTAGTAACTTGAACAGAAATTCTGTTCCGAGTGAGATTCAAACCTAAGGCCCCTGCAGTGTCTTAGCCATTGCACTACTGAGTTATTTTAATATTTTAGGTATTAATGAACAGTACCATTCCACATAAAACTAAAATAGTATTAAATAATTTTATTGCGGTGTTTTACCTGTAGACATAATTAATCAGGTCCAGAAAGTGTGCGTTGAGCTCTAGGTCATCAGGGAATCGTTTTTCGACATATTGCATAAGCTTGACAAGTAATATAGACTTTTCGCGAAGTGATGGCGCGGCTCCGGTGACGGCCACCCCGCGCCACTTCACCCACTCCTCCACCATGCGAATGATGGCCTTCATTACCTGTATTATATGTGAAAAAACAATGTTACATTTCATAATTTTAGGGTTTATGTGTAAAATATATTACATAAAAATAGTTATCAAAATATAGTTGAGCGTCACCTTAGCATCGGTAGTCTTTTCAATGAGCCCAACTAGAACTGTTCCAATAAATGTTTTTCTTGTATCAACAGGCATAACAGACACTCGTGCTTTGAGAAGATCTAATGCTAAAATCTGAAATAAAAAATTGTCTTTTAAGGTGAGTTGATCGAGCGAGTAGATGAGTTCGTATATTTGGGCTGCGTATTTAGCAGGGATGGGAGATATGATAAGGATATAGAACGACGAGTGAATGCGGAAATAGAGTAAATGGGGCCCTGCACTCTATTGTCAAGAGTCAAAATGTGTCAAAAAAGGCACGTATGGCAATTCACAATGCTGTGTTGGTCCCTACTTTAACGTATGGTAGTGAAAGTTGGGTGTGGCAGAAGAAGCACGAGAGTAGAATCAACGCAGTAGAAATGCGGTCCTTAAGGAGTATGTTAGGGCTGAATCAATGAACGACAGGGTAAGAAATTGTGTAATAAGAGAAGAGTGTGGTTTGCAAGATGATGTTGTGACCAGGATTAAGAAAGGAATGCTTCGGTGGTTTGGTCATGTGGAAAGAATGAATGAGGAAAGAGTGACAAAGAAAATTTATGTTGCAGAAGTGAATGGCAGAGTCGGAAAGAGACGTCCTAGGCGAAGAGGTATGTCAGGATCGTGCCAAATGGAAGTCTGTAGTCTCTGCCCACCCCTCTGGGTGACAGGCGTGAGTATTTATGTTATATGTTAATAGTTGCTTATAATGGTTAACACATTAATTACTTGGTTTCATGAGGTCTTTCTGATATTCTCGTTTTTTTTTCCCAATACACATAAGATTAGGTGAGGTGATATCAAATTAAGTTTAATATAAAAATTGACTATTTTCAAAATGAAACAAGATGTACAAGTACAGAGTAGTGGCAAACAATGTCTAACATAGTAGTTGTTTGCGCTCGATTGTTACAATCGGTAGCTTGCGTACGCGCGTCTCGAGCGGGGAACCGGTTAGCGTTGAGGGGCAGAGGGGCGCTTGCTATGGGCATGCGGCGGCCTTCGAGCGCGTCGCGGCAGTCAGCTGCGAAGCCGGACGGCGGTCGGCGGAAGCCTTGAGCGGTGGGACCGCGCGAGTTGAAGGTCGGCGTTCCCGGGTCGAGCTAGAGGTCGCGAGAATGATATAATTGTGCGTCGAAAGGACGGCCTGTATTATCTTATATTAGTACGTAACTTGATAACTAGGCTTATTTCTTTAGTTTGTTTGCGCGAAGCCCGGGTCGATTATGCGTTGAGGTATGTTTTGTGACTCATACGGTTGTGCGCGGCAGGTGTTGATTCGAATGCCTAAGACTTGTGTTACGTGTGCGCGCCATTTTGACTTTACTATTGAATATTAGAATATAACCTAGACCGCCTCGAATTTAGTGACTGTTTTGAACGTGTTACGTGCCCGAGGCCTACTTGGAATTTGTAGTGATTAAAGGAACTTTTATGTCGTTAATTGCATCGACGCGTTAGTAGTTTTGTGCTACGTGAGCCTGGGACATTGAACTTTGACCAACCGTCCTTGAGTTGTGCCGAGTGTCTCTGTTTAACGTCGATCAACTTGTTTTGGTTGAACTTGAAGTTAATTAATTGTACAATAAAGTGATAAACTAATATAGTGAAAGTAGGAGCGGAAGTTTTCCATTGTTGAACGCCTCTTGGATGGATCCCACATTGGAAGGAGGTAAGCCTTGGGATCTGCTGTCTAGGATCAGCGGGGATGTCAGGTTACACATTAAAACACAATTCTGAACACCACTTACACGCACATCACCTTCACCTGACTATGCCTGTGGTTAACCCCACTTCTGGAATTAGGTAAGTTTTATGTTTGTGTACCTAACCTTTCTAATTTATTTATCCATAGGCCATTTTGAGGCCCGACCTCCTGTTACTCGTCGAGTTGGACTCCTGATGGGCCCGAGTTCAACGACCTTTGTCAGGGTAACTTTAGGCCGTAACAGTAGTCCTCATGGAGGTTAGAGAACAGGACAACAATCGCTGTAGAAATGGTTTCCTAGAAATATGGACACCATAAGTGAGGCGCTGCGATCGCTTAGTTCGCTCAATAAACGTCATTTTCAGATAGATGCGAAACCACATCCACGCACAATAAAATATTTCTCTATTTTTTAATGTTTCTTTTTGTCAAAAATTACAAATTACGGAGCGTGAAAATTTTCTCACCAATGCCGCGAAGAAAATTTGTACATTATTCAACTAACTTCATCTACTTGTACTCATAAACAGCTAACTTCGCAGTCACTAGACGTCAGCGCCGCTATAAATTCTAACAATTTTTAAGGACAGGCGGGCTATGCTTTAGTACGTAGCGATCGTTCTCCTGTTCTTTAACCTCCATGGTAGTCCTAAAAAGAAATAGCGTATAAAGTGTGTGTACTGACGAGCAGGTCGGAGACGGCGGGGTCCGGGTTGGGAGCGACGTGGTCGCGCAGCATGCGCTGTAGCACGCGCATGAGCGGCAGCAGCAGCCGGTCTACGTAGCCGGCGCTCGACGCGCAGCACGCCTTCAGCATCATGAGCGGGCCCAGCAGCGCGCCCGCGCCGCCCGCCGCCGCCCCCGCGCCCGTGCCCGCCGCCGCGCCGCCCGCAGCCGCACCCCCGCCCGCCGCGCACTTCTCGTACGTTGCCAGCCCCTCGAACGCGTACTTGCTCACGCACGCGTACAGCGTTTCCAGCTCCTCGTACTGCGCAACGCGTACATTAAATAAATTATTATAAAATGTTTCCTAATTTAATATATGCAACATTTATGCATACGGTCCACGAACCATTATTAAGCAGCCTACGACCAAATCTAGAAATTTAGATTAACTATTTATACGAAAGGTTTTACCGACTACTTTACTTTACTTTTTTACCTTTAATTTTTAAATAAAACGTATTGTCATCCTAATTATTTTGAGTCTGCCTTCTCTATCATATCTTTAATTTTGTAATTAGTCTCATAGAAAATCTACCAGTGCTAAGTGCAGGAGTGCGTTTTTTTTCGAGTATGCACTTAATTCAAACTAACGTACGACACAGAACTTATATAAACGATAATTTAGGTTAACTAAATATAAATATACAATAACTAAATAAATAAATCATTAGTAATACAATGAAAGATTGTATTGAGTACATTGAGACAATAATTCCAATATTAGTGTTAGTTCATGTTTCATAACAATTCTAAATTAAAATTTAATTTACAGTACATATGAGTACCAATAACATCGCTACGAAGACTCAACGTCTATAGATGTAGTAATTGTTATCACATTTCATTATGAGTATTCTGCTGCATTCTGCGTTACTGAGAAGAAAAAGAAAAATTAAACATTTTTAAATAAAAATGCTAGTTGTTTATTGAACAACAGTCACATGACCGTTATGTGTGTGTGTGTGTGTGTGTGTGTGTGTGTGTGGGTGAGAGCGAGCGCACCTTGCAGGCCTGCGCGGCGCCGGAGGGCTCGGTGGGGAATAGCGCGGTGAGCTTAGCGAGCAGGTTGTGCGTGAGGCGCACCACCTTGGCGTTGGACGAGGCGACGCAGGCGGCCAAGCCACGCTGCAGCGGCTTGAGCGCCGCCAGGCACTGCTCGCGCCGCAGCACGCCCAGCAGGAACGCCAGCAGCTCCAGCGCCGTGCATGCGTTCGCGCAAGCCGCCGCATTGCTGTCCGCCGTAGAGAACACCTGCCGCGCGAGTTAATATTTAGTCATAACTCCTTTCATAGTAGGAACTTAATAATTAAGCATGCCGAAAAAAAATTAGCATTTGATTCACTGACATCAGCTGCAATATCAATCCCTTAGTGCCAGTTTTGTAGCACAAGCAACAAAAATGTTTGTCGAGAAAAGACATATTTTTGTAATATTTACATTTGTACAATTTTTAAATGTTGAATCTCTCTTAATAATAAAGTTTAATATATCAATTTCATTAGTAGTAGTAAATATATAATTATATAATTCTAGTTAAATGACAATAATTTATTTCTTATATATTTATCCTGTATAATAAAATGAATGAAATACAATTTTTAATAGATGATATATAATTCAGTTTCGTTTTATTGTGATTTTGTATATGAAATGATATACGGTTACCTTGTCGAGCCAGGCGAGCTTGGGCTCGCAGAGGTGCGGCCAGAGGTCGGGCTTGAGCGCGGTCTTGAGCAGCAGCACGCAGCGGCGCGACAGCTGCTCGCCCGGCGAGCCGCCCGCAGCGCCCGCACCCGCGCCCGCCACGCTGCCCTCGTTCACCTGCACCACACCACCACCACCACACGCGCGCACCACTTATACAAAACTATCCACAAAATAACGTCCACGAAATTAAAAATTATGAAAAAGAATCTAGAATTTCTTGTTTTCTTAATTATTTGCATATATATCCATGCATCATACAGTTATATACATACTGTTATTTTATTGCATAAACGTGGAAAAGGAAGTGTAGTTCGGTAATTATTTTATTTTATTAAAAACCAGGAACTTTTAAATCTTTAATAAGTAACATGTTAATTACAAAAAACAATCAATAGGTTTTCACTTATAGAAATTCAATACCATTATGTTTCGTCATTTAAAAAACATTTAAATCACGAAACAATAATTCTGAACAACAAAAACGGAGTATTACAAAACGCCTAATAAAATAAAGAATTGGATCAACAAATATAAATATCATTATAATTATTTTTACACAAAAAATCAGGATTTTATGCGAGGCTATAGCCGTTGACACATGTAAGCATTAAGGAAATCAAAAACGTGTTTTTTGTATAAATTGCTAAAAGTATTACGAGCCAGCCTGTTGTGTTTGTTGTTCTATGTTGTAAGTATGTGCGGGCTGCGTCTCCCACTGAACGATCGCTATCTAAATGACCAAGTGTCTAATTAAACTATCTTGCTAATTGACGTACCGCCCTTCTCACTTCAAAGTGTATTAATATTCAACACCGCCATATGAAAGTCTGTTAACTAATAACCGAGAAGTAAAATAATGCATCTTTGTAAAGCAGTTCTTCTTCTCCTGAAATTGTTCTATCTATAGAAGTGCAATAAATTGTAAAAAAAAGTCTGTTAGTCAATTGTCAAGTTTGCTATTGTTAAATATGCTGTACATTTGTACATTACAAGAACTAGCCCCCGTCAATGTCATCCCGTGTGGACGACTGAAACCGTTATATTTTCACAATAAATAAACATATTTATAAATTTAAAAAATGAAATACTATAAAATATATGTAGATTGCTTAACGAATGCAAGAGTATGTGAAGAGGTAGTTCGTGCACCTGGCAGGCGAGGCGCAGCAGCAGATTGACGACGACGTCGACGTGCGCGCGGTCGAGCGGCTTGGCGGCGTCGGGCTCGAGGCGCGAGGAGCTGGCCTGCGGGCTGGCCCAGCCCGTGTTCAGCGCCTTGCGCGACTCCCCGCCGCCTTCGTCCGCCGACACGCGCTTCATCGCGCCGCTCGGTGAAGTCGCCACCTGAACCACATGATACCATCTTTAAGTTCTTAGGAAGACGCAAGATAAAAAATCTTTTCGTGTGTCAGTGTCGTAAAAGCGACTATACAATATGTAACGTAATTAACGCACACCTTCAGACACCCCAACTAGTATAATATGTTATAATCATAATAAAAACACTGAATTTTTATAATGATTTCTTATATTTACGCGAACACTACACATGATTAAAACTACTTTTACGGATTTTATCGCGTTTATTTTTGCTTTTAATTACTTTTATTTTTAATTCCCGACGTTTCGGGCGCTTTCCAGCACCCATGGTCACGGGGGACTGAGATGACTGACGTCCCGATGTCATTGTTAAACCCGGAGTACCTTCAGCTTTTTTAATTATTGTTTATGGTCCGATCTATGCAAAATGAACTGACTATGTCTTGAGGTCTTGCAGTGGTATGCTTGGGTTTAGTTTTAATTTTATTGATTATAGGATCCCAAGCAGGTGGTAGTACCCAGCCTCCTTCTCTATTGAAATTAGGATGTTTTTTAATTTCAATAGCCTCACGTATCATCCTTGGTAGGAATCGGTGTTCTTTCGCGAGGATTTGTGGTCTATCAAATCTGATGTAATGGTTGGGGCCGTCCAGGATATGATCACAAACTGCAGACTTCCCGGAACGTTGATGCTTCACATCTTTACTGAACACACTGAATTTTTAGTTAAACATTTTTATGCAATGATTATTTATCAAATTAGTTATACTAATTCCGGAAGAATGTTGTGGTCACAGTACAAATCCACGAACGCAAAGACTAACACGCTTGAAATAAAGTTCATTTTTCTTTATTTTTATTGAATGACAGAATTAGTAATAATACAAATAAAACTGCACTCTTAAAAGTCTTATTGCCTAAAGTTACGGTCCATTTCAGTTTGTTTTAAATGTACAGATTTAGTGTGACTGTAATTTACGTAGTTTTAATTATTTTTGGGATAAAAAATTACCTATATTAAAAATTATAGGAATCGATTCAGTAAACGATTCTGAACAAACTACTTTCTCAAAGTGCGTTAAATTATGTTACGTGTTGTATACAGGAGGATCTCAAATCTTACGATAATTCACCATCTCCAACCAGTTTGAGAACCAGCGTCAAAGGTGGCGCAAGACGTCTGGTAGCGTAATCACCTGCCATAAAGGCAAACTTCCTCTCCAACAACGCAAAAAGGCGAGAAGAGGGCCGAACAAATCAATCCTGGAATAATTTCAGGTTGACACAAGACTTTGGTCACGTTGCCGGACGCCTGCCTAACAACTTGGATAGACTTATAGTCCGTAGGCAAGGTGGATGGCAAAAGAAAAAACAACGCGGCCGACCATCCAGCCGCTGGTCCCACCAGGTCAAATCACTCACTGGCCTTCCAATTACGACCGCAATGTGCGAAAAGTTGAAGACTGAATAAAGGGGAGGACTATAGTAACCAGCGCTACGAAAGCACTAAACTACAGACATACGACTTTTAGTTATGAAAAACATTACCAGGAATTTATTATCCCTGTATCTCTGACTCTAACTACTCCAAACCTAAACTAAACTGAACTTGCCGCATAAGCGTTACATCAGCCCAGGGTGTGTACGAATAAGTGTCATTCCGACGACGAAGTCGACTTCACAGAGTCAGTAATTCATTCTTGGGGCGATGTATACGTTTTTACGCTTTTACAACAAAATCCCAGAAAATATACAAAATTTGTCATACGCAAAGTTCGGAAATTTTATTAAACTAAGTTTGTATAAAAAAGGTTATTATAATATTAAGGACCAAGCTATTTTTAATTTGTCTTGTGTTGTTAATTGTAAACATGTCTGTAAGCTATTTATTTGAAAAAAAAAAGTAGTCCCGCTGGGTTCCTTACTGTTTCTTCCCAGGACAGAGGTTTTTTTGCGAACCAGTGGTAAATGAAAAAAGAGACTTTCAATAAGTATTGTTTATAATCTACATTGAATAAAAAAGTTTCTATTTCTGTTTCTATTGCATTAACGCATACACTTGTGACACTATCATAGGTCATATTCAAAATTCATTTGTGTGGCCTAATACAACCAGGAGAACAAAGGTGGTGTGCGAGCGTGTACGTACGACGGTGTCGTCGTGCGCATGGTCGCGCAGGCGCTGCAGCTCCCACTTGAGCGCGACCTCGGCCAGGTCCACGGCGAGGCGCCGGTGCTCCAGCGACGCGGTCGCCGAGAAGCCCAGCCGCTGCATGGCCGCCACCATGTGCCCCACCAGCGCGTGCCGCACCGGGTAGTATACCTGAAGTCATATTACTTAAGTTTCTGTTCCAACTCACAAAATAGATCTTGTATAAAAATATACGTAATGAGAAAACTTTGATAGCCTTTTTAAGTATATTGCGCGCTCGGAGGAGTTTAAGATTTGGCATAGTTAAAGTTTATATGGAGAAGTAGTGCAGAAAGCTAAATTTTTTTTACATAATATGTGTTTTGCTATTACACAATGTATTGCAATTTGTAAAAAATAATTAACTAAGTACTATTTTCTCTCGTCAAAGGGTGTATTTGATTTGAATCACAGACAACTTATCAATTTTTTTAATTTGGTAAAATCAGGATAACAAATTTCAAACACTTGAATTTTTCTACTACCTACTCTGTTTAAAAGTACTAGCTTTTTGAGGAAATGAAATAAAGAAATGATAAAAAATACAACGGTATCGTAAGAGAGAATGGAGTCAATAAGGATATTCATTAAAACAATCATAATTTGTCTTTGTGGGTTGCAGAATATCAGCGTGCAGGAGCTTGATGTAGTTATGTTCCGTATTATGAATGTAAAGATCCGGAGACTCTTTTCACTAAAAACGAACAATTCTATCTCAGTCCTCAGGGGTATTAACACATTCTGCATTTTAATTTTTAATCGAGGATAGACGTAGATGTAAGTGGACTAAAGCATCTACTAACCATCAGGTGGACTGCATATTCATTTGTCATCCTTGTATTGTAAAAAAAGATACTACTAAGGAATTTGTTTTGATAGTCAAAATTAACAAGTTTTGGAATCAGAATTACGTAATATTCAGAATAAAATATTGAATAAGATATAATCACAATCTTAAATCCATCAGATCGGTGAGCAACACGCACCTTGTAATGCCTGACGACAAGCTGCAGTATGTGGAAGAGCTGCTGTACAGAGTGTCCGTCCTCGACGATGATCTTCTTGGTCCAGTGCGTGAGCATGGTGTTGCCGTCCTCCATGCGCTGCGGCATGGCGGGCGTGAGGATCTCCAGCGCCTGGCGCACCACGGCGCGCGCCTCCACCGCGTGCGCCTTCAGCAGGCTGTGGAATACTGCGCGCACACCGCACGTCAACTAGCGTCCCGACACGCGCGACACGGGTGCCACACACAGCGCCACGCTGCAGCTGCATTATAGCTGTAGCGCGGATGGCTCGGCTTCGAGTTAGAACCACGTTCTTACAGAATATCGACGTAAAATAGCAGCATGATGCTGATGTTTATCGTACGGTGAGTGAGCGACTAAATAGTCAATTTATCAGGTGGACTGTGTGCTCCTTTATCCGTTGTGTGAAGTAAAATAAAAGAAGCTCACCATTTCTATTTTTAATATAAAATCGTAGATTTTATATCTTAAAAATATGCAATAGCTTATTAGTTATTATACACAGTTATTAAAAAAAAACATTTTTTTTTTAATTTTACTGAACTAACGTTAATGAAATAACAAAAACAGAATTGACAAATTATGTATAGAAAATAAATTTAGTTTGAAAGGCAGATTGGTGATCTCAACGTCACAAAGGAAACGGTCCATTTCAGGCCCAGTATATGTACACTATACCGTAAAAAAGCGAAAAATTCAAGGATTTTATTAAAAATAAAATAATCAAACTAAATGACTTGCTAAAAATAAAAATGCAATCCCAATTTTTGATGATTTTACAAGATGGCGGCCTTCTAGTCATAAAATTATATGTCAAATGTCATGTGTGAAAAGTGACTTGAGTCATGAAATAATGTAGGCAGAGTGATATTTTTTTATTCCGAGCTTGTTCGTGCAGTTGTGAGAACTCGTAAATGTGTTTATTGTGTTTCTTTTGGATTTCTTTGGCGATTTGTTTTTTTATATTTGTATTTGGACTTTAGATCTATTACTACTTGCTTGACTCAGTTTTTGTTTTATCGACTTCATGATTTACGTGAGATTTTGATTTCATTGATATCGGACATGTGTACAATCACATTTTGAATCACTAGGCATTCATAATCTCATGACAGTTGACAGCTAACGTCAAAACGACATCCATTGGCCATTAGTGTTGCAGTTTTTTTGTAAGAATAAAATATTTATAAGACTGAAATAAAGACAAATTCGTGGATTTGAATGAACAAAAGTGGTGTAATATATTATTTAAATTTATTTCCCAACTTGTACAAAATCAGGCCTACGCTTCATACAAATTTGGACCGTCTCCTTTCACCTGTTTAACGCTGCATTCCGTCGCCGTCCATCGGTAATTACACATCTGGTTTAAATACGAGATAATTTATATCGCTATCTTTCGGAAGCCACGAAGATTACCCGAGCAAATTCCTCCGCCTCTTACGATACTCATGGCTTGATGGATTCCTTTATCTCCCCTCCACAAAACTTACTTTTTCATAAAACGTATATAATTAATAACTAATAAAAAAATATAGTACTTAATAACCGAAATAATTACATAATCTGTAATAACATTACAAACTTTAAGGTAAGCCACTTCTATAAATACAGGTTCACAAATACACAACTTATGAGAACCGCCATGCTTAACAGATAGTTGACAACCATAATACATCACTCAGTCAATACACTTTTCCACCAATCTACCCCTTAAACATGTATTTTCTATCGTATCGAATTCGTTTTGCCATTGATTGACTTTGATAACAAAACATAATTTTATTTATTATCCAATTATAGCCGGCATCGATACAAAAATGTTATAGCCAAAAGTAGCAAGAGATTTTGAGATTTATTTTTAATAAAACTTATTACAAAAACTAAACGAAACATTATTTTACGTTGACGTACAAATTATGTAAAAACACGTTTTTTTTTTAAATGAAATAACTAACTTACCTTGCAAGACAATCCGCTTATGGATCGCAAATTTCGCGATGATATGACTCAGCAGTAAGTGTCCATGATACCTAAAAAGATCAGAAAAATAACATGACATAAAACAATATTTTAACAATATAGGTGAAAAAAAAATCTAATTACAATGTAATTTGATTTTGTATAAGACCCCAAATTCTAAATTTTTAATTTCCTAATTTTTAATGAAAATTGCATCACGTTTTACATCCCTCTCGTATTGAGAAGCTTTGGACTCAAGTTTGAATTTCAATACTGATGACTTTATTGCTTACAAGATTATTTATTTTGCTTTTTTATCAAGAGCATTGTATATGGTAGTTTAATATTTATAAGTGTAAATTACAGCTTAAATACTTTATTTTAATCATCATCATCATTATCATCATCATCATTACAGCCACTTACAAGTCCACTGACGAAAATAGGTCTCCCAAAAGAAAGATACAAAACACTTACATATAAAAATATATATATATATATATATATATATATATATATATATTATTACACGTAACAAATTAACGCACTTTAGAAAGTAGTTTGTTCAGTATCGTTTATTGAATCGATTCCTATCATTTTTAATATAGGTAATTTTTTATCCCAAAAATAATTAAACTACGTAAATTACAGTCACCCTAAATCTGTACAGTCAAAACAAACTGAAATGGACCGTAACTTAAGGCAATAAGACTTTAAGAGTGCAGTTTTATTTGTATCATTACTAATATTAGTATAACTAATTTGGCGTCTCTTAGCGAAGGTGTATTTCCGGATATATGGAAAAGAGCACACATTGTTCCTGTACATAAAAAAGGGAACTAAAACTAAAATTGAAAATTATAGGGGCATTTCAATTTTAAATACTATTGGCAAAGTTTTTGAGAAAACCATTTATGATGTTATATATCCCGTAATATGTAAGGGACTGCCAAAAACTCAACACGGATTTCTAAGGTATCGTTCTACTATCACTAATCTGGCGTGCTTTTCTAACTATGTTTTGTCTAATATGGATGGAGGCGGTCAGGTAGACGTGGTCTACACGGACTTCGAAAAAGCTTTCGACCGTGTGGACCATGTCATTTTACTGAATAAACTACAATTGTTAGGCATACATGGAGATTTACTCAGGTGGATAAAATCCTATTTGAGTAACAGATCCCAGGCTGTTGTAATAGGTGGATATAGATCGGACTTTATTAAAATACCAACGGGCATTCCTCAAGGATCACATCTGGGGCCTTTACTGTATAACGCTTATATTCACGATATTACTACTTGTTTTAATTTTTCACAACATTTAATGTACGCCGATGACAAAAAAATTTTTTACAATATCCGTACTGAGCAGGACTGTCATCAAATGCAAACTGATTTAACCGTTTTATCAGCTTATTATACTGCTAACAACATAACAATTAATATTGATAAATGCGAATGTATTAGCTTCACACGTAAAAAAACCCTATTTCATTCTCCTACAATTTTAACGGTATTCCAATACAAAGAACATCTACTGTTAGAGATTTAGGAGTTCATTTTGACAATAAAATGCTTTTATCAGAGCATGTTGACGAAATTGTTAACAAGGCTTTTAAAAATCTTGGATTTGTGATGAGAACTTGCAAGCCTTTTAAAGATATTAATACCCTTAAAATTATGTATAATGCTTATGTTCGCAGTATATTAGAATATGCCAGTCCAATTTGGTCTCCCCAATACGCTACTTATAAAAATCGTATAGAACGCATACAGGAAAAATTCATCAATTATCTAAATTATCGTTTTTTCAAATCACCACTTGTAACCTATGAAAATACTTGTCAATCTTATAATTTATTGACACTCGAAAACAGACGTAAATTAATGGACGTATGTTTTTTGTATGATATTGTCCGTGGACAGGTAGACTGCCCTGAGTTGGTGGCGAGCGTAACATACAAAGTACCATCGCGTCGTGTCCGCCATCGGCCGCACCCTTTATTGCATGTGCCGTTTGCTGGCACCAATTATGCACGTAATGCGCCTATAAACCGAATGCTCAGGACTTACAATGAGATCTTTAGTGATATAGATCTCTTTGTTTTTAGTAAACCAGCCTTTAAAGCTAAAGCTCTTAAAATTTTAAATGAGGTGCAAAACGAGTAAATCATTTTGATTTGCTTAATCATGATGATCATCATTACATCTCTTCATAAGTCCACTGCTGAACGTGAGCCGCATGCGTCCGTCGACTTCCTATATGTCTTACCAGGTCGTTACTCCATCTAGTAGGACTCCCTACACAAAAATAAATAAATAGTAATGAACATAAATCAACTCAATTATAATATGAAAAATGAACTTTGCATATTTAAGTACGTTAATCTTTTCTTACTTGGATTGTTGAGTGTGATCTGACATAATTCTAACGGAATTAGTATAACTAAATAAATAAACAGTGTGTTTCTTTTCGTTAAATAAAATGTTTAACTAAAAATTCAGTGTATGTATTATGATTATAACATAATATACTAATTGGGGTGTCTGAGGGTGTGCGTCAATTACGTTACATATTGTATATAGACTTAAAAAGTTATCCTTTGCCGCCGAACCCGTGAGTTAAATCAACACTCAACACTTTGCAACTTTGCACTCAGCTACAGAGCTACACCGGCTCTACTATAAGTTTTCCGATCCGCCATATAGGCACGATAGTTTAATAATCGAGATCTTCATATACATTCATGGGACAGGGAAGAGATTCGTTTAAATGCTAACTACAACATGTAGAGCAATGTAATGCCAGTAGGAAGCGGAGATAGAAGTTTCCCAGTGTACCTAGTCGCAGGATCGACGTAGTTCTTGCCGAGCAGGCACGGCCAGGCGAAGGTCATAAGGCGGCGCAGCTTGTTGCCCTGCTTCTTATTGTTGGCGTCGTGGATGTGCGCCGACGCCTGCTCCAGCAGCAGGCACGCGAACTGCAGCAGCGAGATGCGCACCGCGTCCGAGCACGCGAACGGGTTCTCCGGGTCGATCACCTGCGCACCACGCAAACACAAACGCCCGAAGGTTAATGCCTGTGAGCACCACTGTCGCCGGTTCAATCGACTACCAAATTCAACGATTTGCCATTTAGTTGAGCACCGGCATTTAACTTGAATTTAAATTAAAAATTTTATTTAATTATACATTGTCCTATACCAAAAAACGATTCCTTAAAAAATATTCCTGGGGGAATGATTCGGGGTGCATGCTGGCACCTAGCGTCCAGTTTTACGCACCCTGAAACAGATTTTAATTTGGAGCCAAGCTTGGAAATTCAAGTTACACCCATATTAAGAAATTCAATTACATTTGTCCAGATTTCAAAATAAACATATTTTTTTAGGTTTTCATTACAATGGTGTAGAACAACCTTTTATCGAAAAATGAATTTACAATAAAATGCTACAAAATAAAGTTTTTTTTTAATGATTAATAGATTCTTAAGGTCTTTTTGAGTCAAATGAAATTATATACATATCATAAGTATCGTAAAAATTAATTATGATACTCACATTATTAATAAACACAGAGACAACATTGTCTGGATTGTCTTGGTACGGCGCAGGGGGCCCACCGACAATCTTTTGACCCTTCTCGAAGCTGACCGCAAAGCAAGGTATCAAAATCATTTGTAATACTTTGGCCTTTAGATCTTGCGACATGGCGTCACTGGAGAAATGTTCTACGAAGCGGAAGAATGCCGAGCGCTTCCATTCCACAGTGTAATTTTGCGCTACTGTATTTTCAAGGAAATCGCGAAGGAACTAAAAACAATATATTTTATATTTTATATAATTAATCTATTTTTATACCTCTTAAATACATTTAGTAACAATAATACAAAGGTTTATATTTTATAAAGTTAACTGGCAATGAATAAAAGAAGAAAGGTTTTCTGTCAAGAATAGCAAAGATACAAAACATTGAGGCGTAATGGTGACGGAAACGATTTGTCGTTAACCAAACCAAAAAAAAAAATATGTTGTTAAACAAAAAAAAAACTAATGCGAACTTTTTTACGTGGTAGAGCCATGTCACAGCTATATTAGTAGTATAGTTGTAGCATGAATGGATCGGTTCGACCGGGGCAGTACCACGCACTCAGAGAATACCAACGTAAAATATTAGCTTAACGCTGCTGTGTTTCGTATGGTGAGTGTAGAGAACTGGAAAACCTTTTTACTGGAAACGAGGCATTCCATTTTAGTCATGACGGGTGACAACGCATCTGCATTTTGATTCAAAATAGACTATAGATGCACATGTCTATGGACCACAGCATCCACTTACCATGAGGTGGACTTTGTGCTCGTTTGTCACCTTTATTCTATAAAAAACTACACAAAAAATAATCATTAAAAAATTAAAATTTACTTTTTGGGTATGCGGGTTTTTTCACCGTCAAACACAAAACAGGAAACACAAACCTTTTACAAATTCAGTAATGTCACAATGAAAAGACCAAAAAAAAGCTGAAATCTTTATCACAATTTGAAACATAATAAGACACAAAATTATGCAAAATGACTACGAACAAGCAATAAAAACGTTTAAGTTAGTAGTATGTATACTCATAATGTATCAATATAAATACAAACCTGGAAATCTGGTACAAATCGGTCGCACAGAGCACGCAGTAGTTGAAACAACAAATCTATATTAGATGGATGGTGACAGAAGTAGTGCAATAATATCTTCACTATTAATTTAGGTTCTTTCCAATGTGTGCAGTCGACATTCTCTACTTTCTTGTGAATTTCCTAGAACCATAGTGTAAATTATAATATTGCATATTCATCAACATAATTTTATTTTGATTAAATAAAAACACTCACATGGTATTGATCACTGCACCAAATACGTTTAAGTAATTCTATTAGATCATGTTGAGTCGAGAGCCATTGGTCATCATATTTAATAAGCAAAGAGATAACTCTTATAGCTTGGAACTGCATCTCGGCTCTGTCAGCCTGCGGTATGGAAGCGGCAGCGCCTCCACTGTTCGCCGCCAGTAGTTGCAAGAGACGAGTCTTCTTGGATGTCTGTAGCGCTTCACGGAAAGCAGGGCCTGCTTCTGAGTGCTTGACCAGAAACACGAGGAATCGACTCCATTGTTGATCTTTAATGTTGTTATCACTCATAATAAGGTCTAGTGTCTCCTTTGGATACCTGTAGTTAAAATATATTAATGTTATTTTTTTTAAACAGAAAAAACATTGACAATGTTGACAATTAATTATTTAAATATATATACAAGTGGTTTGGTTTCACTTATAGAACATAAATTCAATGAAAAATAACAACATTTTTATTAGTAAAATCTCAATTTTTCCTTAATTCCTCAATTTTTGCCTGTCCTAAGCCAGGATGAAAGTATAAAGGAAAAGTTACATCACAGGTTATGTGTACCTATTGTGTTTTTATTGGAATGTTGTGTAGGTAGCTAGCGCGGGCAGTGATCTTTACAGTGATTACGTTACTCGGGCGCATAGGGTATCCATGCATTTACGGACGGTGTCGGACAGAAACTTTAAATTTTATGAAAGAAAATAGCGCTTTTTTAAATTCGGATAAATATTTTTATATTAAAGCCAACTACCTACCTACTAGTTTTAGTGACAACGGTGTTTACACTTACACCTTAATACTAATATCCTTGGTAACCTTTCCAAGGAATCTTAAAATGATTGTGTTAGAACACGACATCTATAGAGTGACGTAAGAGGCGACCGAGGCTACTGAAATATTAGATGGCCAGCAGCATCTTCTTGATGGAAACTGAAAATAATAAAAAACTGCAGTTGCCAACCCGCTTGCCAAGCATGGCAACTATGGCAAAATTCTCTCTGTGTGGCAATTTAATGGGCTGATGTATGTTCAACAGTGGACTTTGCTAGGCTGTAGTGAATGAATGAATGAATGAATAATAGTTATAGTAGATATGATGTATTTACCACCACTTACCTTAAAAGAAATTTAACTAAGGGTTCTCTGAATGGTGAGCCAGCCTCAATCATTAATGATTTTTCTGTATGTAATATCAGACGGCACAGAACATCTATAAAACGCGGCGACGCAGCAGGAATTTGATGGAATATTCCAATAAGTATTATTATCTTCTGTTCATTTTCCATGTTTTTCGAAACACTTTGTAGGAAGTTACCCCCTATACATTGAAATATTTTGATTTTATTCAAAACAGACAGTTTTTATGTATATTTAAAGCTACAACCCACTTCAAATTTGAAGGAAATACTCACCTCTATTTGTTTGTATAGAATAATCCAACAGTTTCTTCAGTAATTGTAATAACTGCTCACAGAGCTTCTCACTAAACGTAGAGGGGAATAATTGTGTGAGATATGAGAGTCGTTTAGCTCCGTTCACGCTTAGATTGCGGTGATCGCCAAGCGTTAGTAGTAATGGTCTCATTACTGGATGAACCATTTCCATATCGATTTGGAAGCCCGCTAAGAATTTCTGCATGCATTCAAATCCAGCCTGAGGGGCAAATTTTAAACATAAACCATACATATTGATACCAATGAGGCGGAAATTTAGAGCCTAAACATACGGCGCCACTAATGTTACTTTAAATAAATGTTAGGATTAGGATTTTCGTACTAGGATTTTCTCCTGCATCGTGGAGGCAGTTTACATACACAAATTGCACAAGGAGAAATATCCAAACTCAGAACAATTATTTAAATTTAATTATGTCTATTTGAAACGTATGAGCACTAGGGTAGCCAGTATAAATTTAATAGTCACGGGAGGATAATTTATGGCACCACATTGGAATTCTTCATTTTCAATCCCTAAATATTCACAGTTGGACATGGGCCTTTCCCCATGGTTTCTCTCCCCCATTGCGGTGTAGTGATGGCCTTAGAGAATCTCTTACACACTATTATTAATGGTGGGTGTCGTAAGAGGAGACTAGGATGCGCCAAGATAGTAAATTCTATTGCTGTCAATCGTGTGTCTTGTTTGAATAAAATAAAAAACGCTTTACGTCATTCGTTAATATAAAGTTACCCTTTAAATATTTAATATAATTTACATTGAAAAAAGAGAAGTGCCAAGTCCAGAGGGTAGCACTGACCTGCTGCAGCTCCGGGTCATTCTTCTCGAGCGACTTGTAGAGCACCTGGAATATCTTCTCGCGGCAGTGCTTCTCCTGTATGTAGTGGCAGGCGGCCAGCGCACGCAAGGCGGACGCGCGCAGCGGCACCAGGTTGACGCCCTTGTAGCACGGTAACTTGCCTAGCATGCCGTCCTCAGCTTCGCACAAAGACAGCAGCTCGCGGAAGAACACCTTGTGCTCATTTATGTTCAGATCTAGGACAAATAGTAATAACCGACGGAGAGACAAAGGTGCAAAGAGTGGATGGAGTGATGCATCCACTAAACTGAAGTCCTGAGACTACTGTGGTAATTTATGGGGAAGCTTATGTACAGTGGTAGTTTTGTGATTCGCTGTAATGATAATGATGAACATGAACCACGACAGGTAGCAATACTGAACTCCATACTACCGAGGAAATATTGGCATGTAATGCTCGCGCATGTGAGTCCAACACGGTCCATCTTGACTCTTGGACGTCATAGAAATTGACTACGAGAAACAAATATAAGTTTTTGTGTTATGATAGATAATGATATAGAACACAAGATTTCTATATCGTTATCTATCATAACACAAAAACTTATATTTGTTTCTCGTAGTCAATTTCTATGACGTCCAAGAGTCAAGATGGACCGTGTTGGACTCACATGCGCGAGCATTACATGCCAATATTTCCTAGGTTGTATTGCCCGTACCGACAACGTGAGGCAGTGTCAATTGTACATTATTACTGAGTATGTAGTATCTACTGCAGCCACATGTACAATATATGCACTAGTAAACAAAGTTTTTTCTTTATGGCGAAATGTCAAAAGTGAAGTAATGTTGTTACTTATTTACATAATTAATTATAACAAAGAAGAGATGATGGATACGCATTTATCTTATACGAAATTATTGACTCATCAATAGCTAAATAAGAGAAATACTTATGTGGGCTATAAAGTCTTTGACCTGACATAGACACACATGGCGCCACAAATTCAAAGTCCATCTGCCCCACCATATTTCAACCATTAAATATTGGTTTGCTAAATTTCGTCGTGACCGTACGAGCATCAGTTATGCCTAACGTGACCAGACGTCCCGTTTTGAACGGGACTGTCCCTTTTTATAGTTACGAGTCCCGGTGTCCCTGAAATGAACTCTGGGACGCAAAATTGTCCCGTTTTCTGAAACCGCGCGAAAATTTGTGTTGTTGTTACTAAAAACTTTTTTTAAGATCCCACATCCGAATTATGGCTTTATTTTTTACACGCTCAGTCAGCAAGTTTTTATCAAGCTGTATTGAAACTTGAAGTTCAGACCGTATCGGCTATTGAAGCTGCAAAAAATCAGCTAAAAGACAATTTGACTCAGAAACAGACCAATCAGTTTCTTCCATTTACGGTCCGTCAATTAAAAGTGAAATCGAAAGATAATGTTACTGACATAGATGAAAAGTTGGTGAAAAGGGCGGCTAAAAACTTTTATGTAACAAGCCGTGAATATCTGGAGCAGTAGAATTTCTTTCTTACCAAAGAAATGGAGATATTTTTATTGGGCAGATTTAAAAAAGTTCCCCACACGGGAAGGCGGTCAAAAATCTCTGGATGTATTAATTGAAAAGGAATATATTGACCGTAAAAAAGATGCAGAAGTTTTTGACGAACTACAAATTTCAGTTCTAAAGGCGATATTGATAATTTAGGTGAATATAAAAAAGGAGCCAAGAGTTTCATTCTTACTTAATATTACCACCAGCTAAACGTTTCAGTCATATATATATATAATTCGTAATTTTTAAGCTTACTGAATTTTTCTGAATAAATAACTTTAAAAATGTTTTTTTTATTGACTACCATTGACTTAAATAAACCATTTTGAGACGATTTATGACAATGGACGGAACATGGATTCATCGCTACGCACCTGAGTCCAATCGGCATTCGACGGAATAGTTATTGCCTAACGAAAGCCGTAGGAAGCATCCGAAGACGCAACAATCAGCTGGCAAGGTTCTGTTCTAGCCAGTATTTTTGGGATGCACATGGCATAATATTCTAGACTATCTTCAACATAGAAAAACAATCAACAAACAATATTACTGTGGATTATTGGATCGATTGTACAACGAAATCAAGTCTAAACGACATCATTTAGCAAAACAAAATCTTGTCTCACCGAGACAATGCTCCAGCTCATTCTGCTCGCGATACGACCGATAAATTGAAGGAATTATATTACGAAGTGGTTGAACACCCACCGTATTCGCCTGATTTAGCACCCAGCGATTATTTCCTGTTTCCCCGGTTGAAAATTGGCTCACAGGGAAGATTTTATTCAAATGAGGAGCTCGAGTATGAAACAAATGCCTATTTTAAAGGACTTGACGCGGTCTTCTATAAGAAAGGCATCGAAATATTGGAAGATCGTCACACTAAGTGCACAACTCTAGATGGAGATATTATTGAAGATTAAAATCGTTGTTGCATTAAAAATATAGTTTTTTCATTGCCAGACCAGACTTTTCAGCTCATGTAGAGTATACTATAATCCCTTCAAAAAGATTACGTTGGTAGCAGTCGATTTAATTTACGTTTTGCGATATCCCACTCTATTTTCATGTTAATAAATAACGTACGAACGCGTCCACAATCAGAGAGCATTTGACGCGCGATTTATGTTTACTATCGCAGAGCTCTTTGAAACATTTACACTGTGTAAATACGTAAATGTTTACAATGTAATTATAAATTTTTGAAACAGTAACAATTGGATCTCACACCTGCCAATAATATATCTGATGTAATGTATATAAAGAAATAAAGAAAGAACCATTTATTCGATAATCACACTTTACACACAATTTTTAAAATTTAAATATAAATTACAATGGACAAAGAATATGCATGCGCAGGTGTAAGACTGCTTACGCATTAAAAATTATTTAATAAGCAGAACATGCATGATGTTAATTAATAATGAAACAAAAAAAAAATTAAAAAAGAATTTAAAGATAAAATGACACATCAAATAGGTCTCCAACTCAGCATAATGCTGCAGAGGCAGCGCTGGTTTTCAGTTGGAACAGTTTCACTGACGAGTCGGTGTGTGAACCTCGAATTATGCGTAACTACAACTTATAGACTAATAGTAATTAGGCAGTGGGTTAAAGAGTAGTGCTAACGAACACAACGCAGACATACCGTATTAATATCAAGTACCCGGTTGACCGAGCTTTGCTCGGTATTTTTTTTTAATTCGTGTGTTTTGGAAATTATATTTAGATACAAATTACATACTGATGAAATACGAATAATATTTTTTGATCTTAGCGACATAATAGGAAAAACTGAACTGGTTATTTGAATAAAACATCATGGGTGCAATTAGTTTAATTTAAATTTTCGTGTTTTTAAAAAATACTAAAAAAAGGGCTCGAAAACATAGATTTTCTCAAAAAAGAAAGGAACTTGAAAAAAAAATTAAAAAAAGTCGGTCGGTCGGTCTGGGCTCGAACCATGGTATTACGATTTTGTGACCGCCCAATATACCAATTTAAGCTATTTGTAATCATTATTAAACTGTCAAAATTTACCTTCTTATTCTAACGATATTGTAGCAGTTTTTCATTGCCTAAAAATCACGGACAAAAAGACATTTTCTAAAAATAAATCCTAGCTAGATCGATTTATTGCCCCCCGAAACTCCCTGCATACAAAATTTTATGAAAATCGTTGGAGCCGTTTCCGAGATTCCGATTATATATATATATACAAGAATTGCTTGTTTAAAGGTATAGGATATTAATGGTGTGTAGTACATACACTATACCTATACTTACATAATATAACATATTTGGTTCTATGGGGAAGACAAAGCAAAGTAGCAATAAAATTTATGATTTTAGTACATATATAATTTATATTCTGTACTCAAAGGGACACGCCATGTTACGAGACCTCCTAGATTTTTTTAGAAAATAAAAAGTAAGATTAAAAATAAATAAATAAATGATCATTCATCACATTTGTAACAGAAATAAACAATAATCAATAATATTTGAACATGGTGTAAAACAGTATAAATATTATTATTATTTTGCGTTCTAAACGTAATTGTATTACGTATTTAGAACTTGTGCTAAGTAATAGAACTTTAGTTTGTTTTTAAAACTATTCAGTGATTTAAAGGGGACGAATAGGTGGTGGTAAATCATTCCAACAGTGGGTTGCTGCAAATTTGAAACTACCTCGAAATGCAGCTGTGCGGTATCGAGTTGTTACAAGGGAATGAACAGAAGCTCTTGTATTCTCGGGCCCACTTAAGCTTTTGAAACAGGTATAACTGGTCGCTGTTTTGTTATTGTTGAGAATAGTATAGTAGCAAGGTGTAATTTTCTCCGGGCACTCATTTTTAACAGATTAGCATTGTTCAAATAAGGCGTTACATGACTTTAAGGCGGGAGAGTGAAACAAAACCGAGTACACGCGTATATAAACAAACATGTTTACTATTTAATAAATGGTTTAACTCCTTTTCTTCTTTAAATCTTATATGGGTGTCTTAATCCAAGCTAAAACACCTTATGCTAATGTTAGAGTTGTTATATTGGTATTTGGCATGACAGGAATTGTACCAGTGCACGCATTTATGGCAGGTTATCTTATTTTATGCACGTGGAGCTTAGCTTACTAGCGTTATCTCTCATATTAAATATTAAGTAATAGGTATTTTTAAACAATTCTTTACAACTAATAATCAACATACCTATTGTAAAAAGTCGCGGTTTTAGCGTTGTACAGAATGTGGTTCCATCCATGAGACCCATTTGTGCGTTAGCAGGCTGATGCCGCAACAAGTGCTTTTTCGGCGGTATGATATCCGCTATCGCCTCTCTATGAGGATCCATTACTTCTGTTACTGTTTTATTTTGTAATTCCGCTATGAGTTCCAACGATTTCATTGCCTACAAAAAGGAAAAACAATAAAACGAATATCCATTAACATTAAATTATATAAACATTTAAAAAAAATCTAACATACCTGTTGACGAACAAGCAAATGGGGACTTGTAATTTGAAGTACCAATTCCTGTAAGACATCGTGAAGAGCACGAGCCTTTGCTGCAGCAACATCTCCTTCAGGTTCTAGCCCTTGCCCACTAGGTCCAGACACGCACACGCGAACAAGACGCTCCAAATTTATAGTGGCCATATCGATAGCACCCGACGATACTTCGCCCGTCAAGTCCATCATCACGAACAGTACGGCCTTCAGGAACGTAAAGACATGCTTATAAACCCACTCTGGCGCCATCTTCTCAAACATGAATTTCACAGCTATACATCCGCCCAACTTCGCGTACCAAGCTCGTTCATAGCAAAGTGATGACATTCTTTCTGCGAGATATTCCATCAATGGTAAGCGGCAAGCACGTTCCTTACTGCCAAGAACAGTGCCTGCAGTCTCAATCATAAGAACCAAAGCCAAATGCCCAGGCTTACAGAGTTCTTTTTCTTCGTGTCCCATAACTACAGCAATTGCATCCACTAAAACTAACGCATCAAGACCTTCTTTAGGGCCCCCTGAGCCGGCGAAAGGACCAGCTTCCTGAGCAATCGCTACCAAAGTATAATGACGTACAAGCGATACCATCGTCGGAAGAACATGCTGTCTCAATTCCTTGATGGCTGCGGCAACGAACATACCGGTTAAAGCTGTTCGATGAGTATTTCTAACAACTGTATTGGAACATTTATAGTAAGGCCCATTTTGCGGTGGTATTTTACCCTCAACAAAGCTTGGATGATTGAACAGCTTCTGGAGCGTTGCCTTGTCATCTTCTAAATTCAATGAAGCTGCTAAATAACAACGAAGCACTTCCCAGCACTGGCGGCGATAAAATGGATCAGTTGTACTGGACTTTAGAGCAGAAAAGGCTGTTTCTATTACTTTATCTACTTCGAAGTCTATTGGTTTTGGTTGATCCTGGAAATAGGCCTGCACTGCAGGTGGGGGCGCATCTGTCTCGCGGTACTCCAATCTTTGAGGTTCAATCATCATTTTTCTATTGCCACCACCGAATTTCCCGAGAACTCTGAACGCTATCCTAGCAACCTCATTGTTTTGCAACGTCCTCCAAAGCGCCTGCATAAGATCTGCCCTAACTGGTTGTATGTGTTCATATAAAAAGTCTGGCTGTAAGTTGTCGACACAGAGTTCTAGAGTACGTAAACCTTGTGATATCAAGGTATGAGAACCATTTAGTGCGGATACTAAAGGATCCATGAGCATCGGCAAATAGGGCAACAGGCTGCTTAATCTGACAGGTACTGTTAAACACAACTCCACAAATAGGTCCTTCATGTGTTGCTTATGTAGGCCACTTTGAAGACGATTGAGACCTTCCAAAAGGTTGGGCAGTAATGGCAAAAATTCCTGATAAAGTAAATCGTGGCTTCCCCCTCCTATTGACCGGAAAAGAGCTCTCAATAACAGAAAGTAGTTGTATGGTTCCTTAGCAGTCATGGCATAATCCATTGCTTTGTTCACGATGCTATGCAAATGCGGTCGTAACATTTGTTCATTTTCTGTTGGAAATAAACTAACTGAACCGAACACCAGTTTAAATAGCCTGAGGTATAAGTTTGACCTTTCGATGTTCGTGCCCATTTCTTCCATTCTTTTTAGTAAATATTCCACCAAAACAGTTGCGAAAATAGGAGACGTGGCCGGATTAGACAGAAAGGTGTTTGCAATTATTTGTAGTGTCATGTTTTTGTTGATTCTTTCTACCATATGAGAAATCGTCGCAGTAAAAATCTCTTGAAATGTTTGAGGATTCATCATGGAAAACTGAAAAGAAAATAAGATATATTTTGTCAGAAATATAATTTTAAAGAAACAAACAGTAACTTAAGTGCAGGCGTATTTCATCATCGTCATTTATTATTAATAAATGTAAGTAAGTCGTGTATATAATAAAGCATAATTTTGCCGCGTGTGAAATGTTTCGTGTTCAAAATCGTAGAAAAAAGTAATAAGTGATTTCAAGAACAGTGTTTTTTCGACAGACATTGGATTATTTTACAGTTTAAAAGGTATTAAGGTGACCTATATAAATTTGCTGTGTGGAAAATTATACATAATTTTTCATCATAATCGGCATTTTTATTCACCCCAGAAGCGGAATGCCGATACTGCCATGAGAAGAAGTAAAGCGTACTCCACGCAACAGGAGACAAGTAGAAACGGATGTTGCACGGCAACAGGAACAGGAAGGGTCGAGCGCCCATACTGCTGACTCCGAACCGATTCCTGCAGTAATCTTATCAGGGCCGGCATTAGACGGGAACATGGCTGCGTTATTGGCCGCCATTCAAGCCTAGCTGCAGACCAATTAAAAACATATTGTTGCGCGTCACAGTTGATGACACTTGCGCCATCTGGTATCAAGTATCAGAAATAGGAGTGTCAAGATCTTTCTGGAACTTCCCAACAGCGCCATCTAGTAACGAATAGAAGAATTAAGCTTTCTAGAAAATCCCACTCTCAAACTTTCTGCACTTAGTCGGTTGGGATCGGTATTTGCTGGAACATTCTGGATGTTTCGGTGGAAAAAGCGTATTTATAGCCGCTGAGGACCGCGACCGGGGCAGTATTGATTTGGCGATACGAGCGAAGCTTTCGGAGTGAAATAAAGTGTTAAGTGTGATTAATTATTAGTGTGATTTAAGTTTTAATCGGTGTTCGGTAATTAGTGTCAATTTTGGTACTTCGATCGGCAGTTTTTATTGTCACGAACCCTAAGCTCGTAACAATATTTAACAACAAATTAAAGAAACATTTATTGGCAAGTCTCAGTGCTTAATATTAATATTATGTATTATGTAAATGAGACTCAAATGTTCCTACAAACAAACTGTGTAAGCAGTTTTGCGGGAATAAGTATATTTAAAACCAAATTTTGTATTTTTAATAATAAATTATTAAAAAAAATATCAGGAAGTCGCTCTTCAGCAACAGGAAAGCGTCCGTCAAGAACTAACAGCGGCTCGGCGAAAGCAGGTAACCGTCCAGGCAGCGGCTCGGCAAGAGCAAGTAGCCACCCAGCAAGAGTTACATAACTATCAGCCAGCAGTTGGACACAAGGCTTCAAATGCTCGGTGATAAAATAAAAGGTGGGATTTGACTCTCTGGGATTTTCAAAAATTTAAAATCAGTCACTGAACCTCAGTACAGGCTGCACGCGACATTAGGCAAATGTGATTTACTACGCTTTGATAGGATATCATCATGGGCTGCTTAGAAGTACGAGTTTGACATCCTCTCCAAGGGCAGTGGCTGGAGTGAGGAGCAAGCATTCATGGCATTAGCCTTACCACTGAGAGATGATTCCATCTTATTCTCGAATGGCTGCCTATAGAAGGAAGTTTTTTAAGTGTTCTGTTGAAAGCTCTAGAGATTCGGTACGGTTACAAGCATATGGAGCATGCTTATAGAGCTCAGCTACGAAATCGCGTTCAAGCGCCTGCAGAGACACTGCAACAGTGGACTGATGAGATAGAGAGGCTGGTTCATCGCACTTATGTGTCAGAGATGGCTCTACTTGAAGCGTTTGTGGACGCCATCCGGGACCTTGAGGTCCGAGCAGGTGTACGATTAGGCCACCATCAAACTCTAAAGAGCATACTTGCACATGCGTTGGAGGTGGAAGCTGTGCGACGCGATGCGAAATCTTATCAAGTAAGGGAATTAGTAACAAAAGGAAAGAAGCTCCGTTATGGTTCGACATGCTACGCGTGCGGTAAAAAAGGCACATCAGGCTCGATTGTCCGAACGAAAAGAGAGAGAGGTTCACAAACTTTAGGATTCAAATTGAGAAGGTGCAGGCATTTGATGGATAAACGAAAGCCTCTAGCATTACGGTCTCACACGCATGCGACAGAAATGACTTAATATATAGGGGTCACTTTAAATGAGAATGTCTGCCGATATGCCTTTAATATCGTCGTGTTATCTTGAGTATTCTGATTACTTTCCGACTAAAAGAGTAAAATGACGCAGAAAGTTCTATATTTCTTTTATAGACTATAAAAGCGTGTGTCAGCGATCGAAAAGTTAGTTATTTCGACAACGCGAAAGTGAACTCTACTTCGGGACGCTACTATGAGAAATTAACTAACATTTACGATTATAAAGGATCTCACTGAAGAAGCTTAGCGATTTTGGACGACGTATCTATAAACTTGCTGTGTGTATTTTAAAATACATAATTATTCGTCCTAATTAGCATTTTTACTCACCACGCACGTAATATAAATAAATCCTTAACATAGAATTTAGCACGAATGGGTTAGCGCGACTTGGGAAGGACCACGAACTCATAGAACACCAGCTTAAAATAGCGACTTAAGGCTGCTGTGTTTAGTATGGTGAGTGTAGGGATCCGGAGACCCTTTTTACTGGCAACGAGTCATTCCATCATGGTTCTTAGGGTTGACAATGAATCTTGCTTTTTTATTCTTAATCGAGGATTGAGGAAAATCTATGTCTATGGGCCACAGTATCCACAGGTGGACGGTGTGCTCATTTGTCACCCTTATTCTACATTTAAAAAAAAACTAGTATTATTTACAATACAGTCATTCACGATATATCGCGTAAATAATTTAAATTTAAAAAAGGAAATGAAATGGAAAAGTGTAGAAGAATATAACATATTATAAGTGTGTAAGCGACTCACGACTCCGCTGAAGTGCTCGAGCACCTCCTTCTCCTCCTTGGAGCGCACGTGCGGCTGCGCGGGGGGGTGCGCGGGCGCGCGCGGCGCCGCCAGCGTGTAGATGTCGAGCGACTGCAGCCCCCAGCGCACCAGCCGGATGAACACCAGCGTCTCGCGCGCGCTCAGCTGCTTCTGGCCCGCGATGGTGCCCGCCGCCGCGGCCGCCGCGCCCGCCGCCCCCGACACCCCCGCCACCGCCGCCGCGCCCGCCGCGCCGCCGTCGCCTCCGCTCGAGCTCTGCGCAACATCGCCTCAATGTACTAGAGCGCGAACGACTCCCCAACTGACGTTTAGTTTCGTATGATGCACTAAATTCAAGTGCGTCGAATAGGTCAGATCTTGAAATATATTTACTTAATAAATTCATCACCATTATCATCTTTACAACACATTTTGATTGTCATATCATTTGCCATAGTCACTGGCTGGCGAATTGACAACCTCTGTTCTATTTAGAATTGTTAAGGTGGCATTATAATCAAATTATTAACTAAGTCCTTATTATTAGACCATAATGTCTTGTATTAATAATATATTATGGTATTTTATGTTAAATACGAAAATCACAAAATTTGAAACTGATAGGGGTAGATGACTGATGATCGATGAAATAAATTTTATTCTTTTACACTGTCAAAAATTTACAGTGTGATCGTATTATTATAAAGTCTCTAAGGGGAACGCTTCCCGGTTCAACGATCCTGTGTTTTGGCAGGGAACGTTAATGATGTTAGTTAAACAAAGACCACGCCAGAAAAGCCGCGGGAATAAACTATAAAATGTAATCAAAAGATATTCTTCATTGAGCTAATATCCCCCATACATCTACATGCGACAGTTTTTTAACACGCCCACAAAAACCTACTAATGCAATCGACACAAGCGAATTTCTTCGCGCAATCTGCGCAAATTAGCTCGCATTGATTAATTTAAACAAACCTTAACGTATAGATACTTACTTTACAAGACGCACATCCCCATGTAATAGTCTTCACTCCACACACAAGTGTTTTAACCAAAGTCCTATAGTCGCCGACATTGAGGTTGCTCATCTGCGAACTAGGGAAACCTATTTTCGATTTCTCTTCGGCTCTGTTGATGCTATCGAGGAAGTCCACTGAATGTTTATCGTCTTCTATTTTCACTTCAGGAGACGAAGTACTCGGCGCAGATGTGGTTGGTGTGCTCGGAGTAGTTCCATTTGTGCCATTTAGCGCCGGGGTCGTTTGTTTGCTGCAAAATCAAAAAGTGAACGCTATTAATTCCAGTTTTATTGCTGGGGTCAAATTGAATTACTTGCATTTCATAAAATTTAACTGCGACGGTGGAATTATACAAGGTTATCCTTCGTCAGCAATCTCAAAGAAAACGCAAAAATATTAAACCGTTTTTCCTAGTGACCTAATGTACGCGGAACGTAAGTAGGGAAAATCGTAAGTTATCAGCTAAAAATCAGGTAAAAATTCGACTGTGTTTTTTCTGTATGTATGTTACGCGATATCTTCGTCTATTGTAAACAGATTATTCTTTTTATTGGTACTTCAGGAGTGTTCCTATATAAATTAGGAGACAAAACTCCATGAGGGTGGCAAAGTAGGAAATTAAGTTAAACGTTAATATTTAGACGACATTGAGATTGTGAAATTCCTTAGTCCACTAGGGGAAAAAATAACTTTTAATATAAAGTAAATAAAACCCAACTCCAAAAGAACTTTCTGAAGTCAGGGATTTAATTCTCCCATACTTTGCCTTAACATCGACCTAGCACGAAAATAACAAAAGAGGTTATCTGCGAAGTTTCTTTAGCCGCTTCTTCTCCAGTCAGAAGAATCTCAATTCGAAAAGGAAGTAAAGATTTAAAAAAAATAATTTGAAAAACAAAATTCTATTTTCTAAAATAATATATTATTTTCGTTTATTTTGAATAAAGAAAGCCGCAGTTCGGTTTCACGAAGTACATTTTTCGTGAAAACTTTGTAAAATTAATCACTAATAAATTAATCATTGTAATTCATCTGCGGTATTACCATTTATTAATGATAATCTGTAGACGTCTGGATTGTCGCTGGCCGCTGGATGCCGATGGTCCAGCTACGTAAACACACACGAAACGTTTTTCCTTTTCCTTTCGACTCTTTTTATAGAATGAGGGTGATAAGCGAGCACAGGACCCACCTGATAATAAGTGGATGTTGTGGCCCATAGACATTATATCTATCCTCGATTAAGAATCAAAAGCAGATATGTTGTCACACCTGAGAACTAAGATGGCACGCCTCATATTCAGTAAAAAAGGTTTCCGGTTCTCTATACTCACCTTCACATACATCACATACACAACATCATTTCGTTCCTCTTTCACGCTTCTGTAAGAGCGTGGTTTCTTCCCGGTCGAGCAGTCTCATTCGAGCTACAACCATAATATAGCTGCAACATGGCTCTACCACGTTGTTATTGTAGCACTCGCTTTGACTTCTAAGGCTTTTTTCAACAATGCCAAATGTAAGTGACCTCTGTATTAACGCGGCAAATTATGGCACTACACAGTTAGTCAAAATTAGCCAGCAAAATATCATCTGTAAACTTATCATGATTAAATAAATAATTCCAAGAAGCAAAATTAGAAAAGTAATATTATAATTATCGCCCGAAGATTTAACACTACAATGATGTTTTTTTTTTTGCTGTTAAAGTATTTATAGTAACATAATAATGTTACTTTAATGTTCATTTCAGCAGATGTTGTTAATGAGGTTATTCTTATTACTATTCAAAAATATACAATACAACTATAATTATATTTTTTTTTTTATATATATATATATATATATATATATATATATATATATATATATATATATATACAGGGTTACTGGTAACTCCGTTCCCGCCAAGGCGTGATAGTTGGGGTCATAACCTATCAAATAAACCATAAAATGCATTTATGCAAATGTGGACCATTTCGAGATATTTAGGTTTAATAATTTTTTTCAAAAATGCCAAAAGTCTGGTGTCAAAAATTTCTAAAAAAAAACTTACAGCTGTATTATTTTCATTTTATTATTTTTACTTAATGAAAACCTGGATACTTATTTATCAATACTACAGTGTGCAAAAAGTCTCATCATTTTCGAAGTAACGCTACTAAAAGTACAACTTTTTGCTCTTCGCGGCTTGTTATTGTTTTGCTTACCAAACATGACTGATGTCTTAATTATTTGTGAAGTTTTGCTGCTTGTGTAACTTTACTTTACTTTACTTTATAAGTAATTAAAAATAAAAATGATTTTGTGAAAAATAATTGTATGTGACCAATTGTGCAAATCATGTTAAAAACATCCCTACTTATCTAGCTACCCAACGAAGTATCAATTTAGCTTGTAACTTAAATAGTACAGAAAAAACTTGAAAAAAGGGGCCAGGTAGACAAGTTCCGAGTAGCAATGTTTGGGGTAATCCCAAACAATTCGCTTCTCGGAACCTTATCAACAGCTGCGGGAATGCTCGTAAAAGATTGTGCGTTTGAACTTACGCTATTGTTTACATTTAGTGTGAAATTAGAAACAAGTTAAACAAGAAGAAACTGTTCAATCAGTCATCAGTATTACAGGCATCGTACACACGCGTGCATATCCCTCCCTGTTACACTTAAAGAAGTTGAGTTTCAAAGTTTTATGGCGGCGTAACCACTAAGACGCGGAGATCATGCAAGGCAATCATTTTCCAATGAGGAATACGCAGATATCTTTTATCTCTATGGATATTGTGACGGTGACGCTGCAGCTGCTCGCCGTGAATACCTGCCCTAATCGCCGACCACCCCATGTCACAGAAGATGAAGAAATTTTGAGTAAATTTCAAGAAGATCCAACCACTTCCACGAACATAGTTGCTCGTCGCTTAGGTGTATCGCAGTGGAAGGTCTGGTCTACTGTGCATACTGCGGGGCTTTATACGTACCACTACACACCAGTGCATGTGATGGAAGAAGGAGATTAATATTGGTAAAAAATAAAACACAAATTCCTTTGTCTGCTTAGAACTATCTGACCTCATTCTAGAGCTAGATAAATAGGGATGTTTTTAACATGATTTGCACAATTGATCACATACAATTATTTTTCACAAAATCATTTTTATTTTTAATTACTTATCTTCTGTTTGGAAAAAGTTGTACTTTTAGTAGCGTTACTTCGTCACCATTACAATATCCTTAGAGATAAAAGATATCTGCGTATTCCTCGTTGGAAAATGATTGCCTTGCATGATCTCCGCGTCTTGGTGGTTCCGCCGCCATAAAACTTTGAAACTCAACTTCTTTAAGTGTAACAGGGAGGGATATGCGCGCGTGTGTACGATGCCTGTAATACTGATGACTGATTGAACAGTTTCTTCTTGTTTAACTTGTTTCTAATTTCACACTAAATGTAAACAATAGCGTAAGTTCAAACGCACAATCTTTTACGAGCATTCCCGCAGCTGTTGATAAGGTTCCGAGAAGCGATTGTTTGGGATTACCCAAAACATTGCTACTCGGAACTTGTCTACCTGGCCCCTTTTTTTTCAAGTTTTTTCTGTACTATTTAAGTTACAAGCTAAATTGATACTTCGTTGGGTAGCTAGATAAGTAGGGATGTTTTTAACATGATTTGCACAATTGGTCACATACAATTATTTTTCACAAAATCATTTTTATTTTTAATTACTTATCTTCTGTTTGGAAAAAGATGTACTTTTAGTAGCGTTACTTCGAAAATGATGAGACTTTTTGCACACTGTAGTATTGATAAATAAGTATCCAGGTTTTCATTAAGTAAAAATAATAAAATGAAAATAATACAGCTGTAAGTTTTTTTTTAGAAATTTTTGACACCAGACTTTTGGGATTTTTGAAAAAAATAATTAAACCTAAATATCTCGAAATTGGTCAACATTTGCATAATGAATTTTATGGTTCATTTGATAGGTTATGACCCCAACTATCACGCCTTGGCGGGAATACGTCGAGTTACCAGTAACCCTGTATATATATATTTTGTTTTTTTACACAATTTTTTTTCTTTAATATAAGTACAGTGATTGTTTATTTATACAGTTTTTTCAAAGGCTAAAAAGGTACAGATATTATACATATAGCGTTTGCAAAGCCCGAGTGCTTCGCGAAATATTTGAGTGTGACTCGATTCGTCGTTCGATTCGTTGCGTCATTGGCACATTAAGTAAGCGTAATATCATGTTTTGGATAGTTCGTGAAGTCGTTTGCATTACAATAACCAAAACCGATACCCCTACTTCTGGAGTAGTTGAGTAAAAAGTCATGCTCACCACTTCGCCATCAGAGCAGGCAGCTGCAGTTTGGAGATGGTCTTGAACTTGAGCACGAAGACCTCGAGGATGCGCATGAGCAGCTGGCGGCCCTGCGGCTGCGCGCCGCCCGCCGCGCCCTCGCTCTCCGACCGCTGCCGGATGCAGTCCACCAGGTTCAGCAGCAGCTTGCACGACATAGTCTGAATGCTGCCATATGGACACAAAAAATAATTTTTATTAATATTATGTACATATTTATTTATTTATCATTTATTGACTGACACATATTGTACGGAGCAGACTTTGATGAAGAGAATAGAAAGAAACAAATATAGTCAGCTAGCAGGTACCCGGAGTATGCAGCTGCAGAAAAAATAATTGTTCAACAATACAAGAACTGTGTCACCCGGTTTCGGACGCGGCTCAAAAAATTGGAGAGCGCAAGTATTAGTGACTATGAAAAAAGTCGTTCATTAGAAGATGTAAGAGCTTGTATTATAGTAGGGGGCAAACAATTTTAACATTTATTATACTTTATGGAATTTTGGTTTTAAACATTATTACACTCCAACCATAAGAAACACTCCTACAGATTTCCGTAGCAAGTGTCTTATTTTTTAATCTTTTTATTTTAAGAAAAATAAGACTAGATAAACATAGGTAACAATAACTCAGTAATTTGACGAGTTTTTAGAATCTGCATGAAGTAGGCGTGTTCATTGTTCTGTGTTCATGTAGCTATTAGCCACACTGATAATCATAGGTTTTTTTTATAATACAGGTGCTCAAAATTCGCCACTGTAAAATCGTAAATTCTAATTTTAATTTTTAAGTATTAAAAAAAAAGTTACAGCAAGAAATATTTTGTAACGCACGATGGCAAGGCCAAACATACACGGTTATTTCTATTTGTTGCTGTGTGAATAATGTGAATGGAGGTATCAAATTTCACACTTTAAAAAATAGTAATATTTTCCAGACTACTGCAGGTATTTTTTTCTGATTGTCGGAGGTGCCCCCCAATAGTATCTGCGGAGTTATCCATTACTTACCGCACACCCTACAGTAGTAAACATAAATATAGCAAAGGACAATGGCGAACTCTCAAACAAATTTTAGTTGACATTTTTTTCTTGCGTCTACAAATACAAAATGTGTAAAAATATAGTTTGAAATCCTGAACCTTTTTCTCTTCGGTCATACTACAGAAAGTCAGGAATCAAAGATATTCCAATTTAAACAAAATTCACATCAGATTAGGCTGTACGGTATAAAACGCCTTAATTGCCAAATAATTACAACAACAACTAGTCAATATAATTTTGATATATGTTTATATAGAGTAATTACTATCCTAGAGGGAATTCTTAAAGAACGCATTAGTATATATAGAAGAGTTTTCTGAATAAAATACACGTCAAACTCGGTTGTATGGTATAAGACCTTTGCCTGTCTTAACTGACGAATCGTTACAACTACAACTAGTCAATTAAGTTAAATTGTGTATGATGATTTTTTTCCAATCTTCGATAGGCTATAAACTTGATTTGATAATACATAGTAAATTATTTTATTAATATCTGTAATGGTGACATAAGTAGGCGCATATTAATTCCATCAACAATTTTCCACAACAATTATAGTCTTTGCGTTGTAGCATGGTGCGAATGACAGCTCACACATCTATGAAGTTTCGTATTTTTTTATATAAACTGTCATACCGATATTGTTGTACTTCATGGATGGGAACGCCCACTTACGAGAGTAATGTGGCACGCTAAACTATGCCATGACATAACGAACAACCACAGACTATCAAGAATCGGTTTTGAAATAAATCGAATATATAGAAATCACGTAAATATTTATTAAATATGTAACTAATAGTTCAACAGATTTTGATTTAAAGAAAAAAATGCACATAGACGAATATGCAGTGTTTCCAATACATGGACGATAAATTATTCGTTGGTCAGCTCAGGCAAAAAGAATAATTATAAATGTGTCAAAAAGACTTGGCTACAAAAATCTATTTTGTATTTTTATTACATTAGATTTGAAAACCAAATTCTCGATAATTTTTACCTTCCGTCCCGATATTTAGCTCATTGGACCTGGCAACACTAATACACATATGGAGAAAGGCGCTAGTACACGTACCTTGAAAAGCTACCGGTGCAGTCAACGCCGTACTGAAAATTACAGATGCTGGTATCCATTTTATTTGTTTAAATGTTAATATGAATGTTGCAATTAACATGAAATCTAAGATGATTTTTATTTTCAAATTAATACATATCTACAGTTATACATTGAAGTGTCTGTTTGTATTTTCCAAACATCAAACTTTTACTAATACATATGAAAATTCAGATTGTATTTATAACAAAAGACAAACACAATTTTAAAATAAATTGTTTGTCTGTTTGTTCCAGCTTATAGTTGACACTAGCAGATAGCTGATGTTATAAGGAGTAACACAGGTTTCTTTTATTTTAGAAAATGAATTAGGATTCCGCGCAAAAAAACTTGAAACCTATAAAATTCAATCGTAATAAACAACAAGAGACCGAGGTCGCGGGAACAGCTATTATGTAACTTATGTCATAATTTGTATTAAACTTAAACTTAATTTTAAATGCATTGTAGTTTATAAAGAAATATGTTTCGGTTTTAATTTTTATATCGATAGCTAATTGATAATTTTTGCTTTGCTTTGTGTATCGTTAATCGCCTTTTTAAAATCGATTTAACATTTTTCTATCTCTAGACACGCCAAATTGTAAACTGTCAACCGTACTATGCTATAACGCAAAGATTATAGTTAATTTAGTGTAAAATTATGTATGATGATTTTTTTCCAGACTTCGACAGGCCATAAGATTGATTAGATAAAACATAGTAAATTATTTTATTGATATCTATAATCGTGACATAAGTAGAACCTTAATAATTCCATCAAATCTCCAATAAAATAAGTAATATTGTTTATACGTGGTAGAGTCATGCTGCAGTTATATTAGTAGTATAGTTGTAGCACAAATGGGTCGGCTCGACCGGGGAAGGACCACGCTCTCACAAAATACTAGCGTAAAATAGTAGCTTAATGCTGCTGTGCTTCGTATGGTGAGTGTAGAGAACCGGAGACCCTTTTTACTGGAAACGAGGCATTCCATCTTAGTCCTCACAGGTGACAACACATCTGCATTTTGATTTGTAATCGAGGATAGATGTAGATGTCTATGGACCGCAGCAACCACTTACCATCAGGTGGACTGTGTGCTCGTTTGCCACCTTATTCTATAAAAAAAATGAAAAACAGAAAATGGGAAGCTATATTAGAATAGGAAAACCACAAACTACTACTGCAGTGTAAGATAATGGTTCAAGAGCAGCAAGTGATTGAACAATACCTTTCTTGTGAGTGTACCTTATATTATCAGGTAATTAATTTCAGCCAACTGCAGGAGGATAAAAGAGTTGTACATAAAGCTTTTGTTATAGAAGTAGACACAGGGAGTAGAATCCATATATAAGTGTATACATACAGGTTATATGGTATATACTTAATTGAAATCATGTAATATTAACCCCAAAAAAAATATCAGTGCAGCTTTGGGGTAGGAAGCTCGCCATCATCATGCAAATACCAAACAAACAGGGTAATTTGAACTCCTATAGTACCAAATTTGTTAATACCAATTTTGAATGCTAACCACGTGGTAGTGCTCACCAGTGATAAAAGAAATTCTCAGAAACCTTTGTGACTCAGAAATAAAAAAATATAATTCCGCGAACACACATTAAGGTAACAAGCAAACTCTTCCCGCAAATAAGAAATTTAAGGTGTGTATGCAGCATAAAGCTCCCTTGCCATTTGATAAAAACATGTATTATACATGATATATATTTTAATCTTACCTAGTAGGCAGAGACTCATCATGTACATTCTTGGAAAATAAATGAGCAGCAATAGCGAGATCAGACAGAGGCAGATGTTGCCGGACATGATGTACTAGATCAGCTAGAGTTGAGTAGGCCAGAGGCCTCAGCGACTCATGCACCGTCCAACCGCCGCCTAGCAATACGTCCTCGTCGAACAAACGCTCCATGTAAGGAACAAACTCTGAAAAAAAGATTGAAATATAAGGAAGTGCTATACGAAGTCTTGTAATTTATTTAAAGTAAGAAATACAATTCAAAAATATATATATACAATTAAGATTATTCATCATCAAAAATATTTACTATAGAGATAATAAACATGAAAAAGGCAAAGCAATGCATTATCTCTAATAGGAGGTGAGCACAGCATCTATGATTAATATTGAATATAATACAACAATTGTACAAACTATATTTGCATAATTAATGTTCTAACAAAACTGCACATTGTTGAAGTGCATACTTATTTTGAAAAAAAAATCAAGTTGGAATTCTGATAATTTTGGCTCTAAAAGTTACAGCCTATATTCGTCCCACTGCTGGACACACGCCTCCCCACATTTCCGAGAGGGTTTTAGGGCAAGGAAGTGTCCGCCGCGCTGCCCCTATGTGTGTTGGCGAACTTCACGTCTTCGAAATATTTTTTTTCTTATTCCTCAGACATGCAGCTTTTCTCACGATGTTTTCTTTCACCACCGAGCACGTTGTAAATCAGCACTTAAAATTGCAATTAACAATTTCATTGGCGCCGGCGGGGATCGAACCAGGGTTACCCGCTTTCTGTTATATTTTTACAACAAGCGTTAACCATCTGAGCTACCACGGCTCTATATATTATACATGTATCTCAATGCCAAATTAGAAAATAAAATCGATGGCTATAAAATTGATGTAATACTTACTTAGCCTTAGATCTGTAGCCAAAATGTGTCGTGTTGCTATTACTAATTCTTTTCTAAGGTGTGCTACTTCTGGTGGACACAGAGTTAGAAGACCAATAATTCCTTTGACCATCAAGTTAGCATGATTAGCTATTGTATCTTGATATATCCTTATAATATAAGCTAGAAATGCTAATGTTTTGATTTGTGCACCCATGAAGTCAACAAAAACTTCTTTATTAAAAGATGCTGATTGCCTAAAAAATTAATTATTTTTAATTTTGATGAAGAGATTTCGTATTCCCCTAAATTGGAGCCACCTTTCACAAAAATCAAAATCAAAGTTTAATTGTTGCACTCGTCGCAATAAAGTGAACCAATAATGTTGGTTGAGTTACATTGCTTAAAATTTATATTCAACTCAACTCTCTTTGAGAGGCGAAGCCATGACAGCATTAAAACTTATAAAATGCCATAATGGGTGTCGTAGGAGGCAACTAAAGGAAATGCTGGAAAAGTTTAAGCCAGGTGCATTGCTCCATACTTCTTCTCGTCAGTCCTCAGCGTGTGTGCGTTATATGTTGCCAGGTCGAGTCGTCGTAGGTGGCAACCGAACCTCCACTGGAGATTCTTAGCACCCCCTGCCCCGCCGTTACCATGGTCGCCACCGTAGCCAGGAATAGCGGGGCCAGACTGAGGGCCGTTTGTTTGCGTCGTGATTTATGGGATATATCCCTTTGTCGCCTCTTACGACACCCACGGGAAGATATGGGGTAGTGGATATTCTCAACCGCCACTACACGGCCGAGATTACAAAGGCTCCCCAGCACCTTAAAAACGGCAAGTCCCTGGGCGAGGATGGAATTACAGCGGAGCTTCTGAAAGCGGGTGGAAAACCGGTACTTGAAGTCCTTCAGAGGCTCTTTAATTCCGTCCTCCATGGTGGCACTACTCCGGAGGCGTGGAGCAGAAGTGCGGTGGTCTTATTCTTCAAGAAAGGTGACAACGACCTCTTGAAGAACTACAGACCGATATCCCTTCTGTGCCGCGTCTTCGTGCTGTTTTCGAGAGTCATGACGAATCGTCTCGCACGCAGACTCGACGACTTCCAGCCTCCAGAACAAGCCGGTTTCCGAAAAGGCTTTAGTACCATAGACCACATACATACCCTTCGGCAAATTGTACAGAAGTCCGAAGAGTACAATATGCCACTTTGCCTGGCGTATGTGGACTATGAGAAAGCCTTTGATTCCGTCGAAATTTGGGCGGTGCTACAGTCTCTTCAGCGGTGCCAAGTTGACTGTCGGTATATCGAAGTGCTGAAGTATTTGTACAGTAGCGCTACGATGGCTATCCGAGTACAGAACTAGAGTACGAAACCTATCCAACTGCAGAGAGGTGTAAGACAAGGTGACGTTATTTCCCCGAAACTCTTCACCGCTGCATTGGAAGACGTTTTCAAGCTACTGGACTGGAAAGGATACGGTATTAACATCAATGGCGAGTACATCACTCACCTTCGATTTGCCGACGATATAGTCCTTATGGCAGAATCACTGGAGGAATTAAGCACTATGCTCAATGACCTCAATAGTGCCTCCCAATGGATAGGTCTTAAGATGAACATGGACAAAACAAAGATCATGTTTAATGTCCATGTCACACCTATGCCGGTAGTTGTTCGGAGCACTAAGCTGGAAGTTGTCGACGAGTATGTTTACCTGGGACAAATAGTCCGACTAAGTAAGTCCAACTTCGACCGAGAGGCCAATCGACGGATTCAACTCGGCTGGGCAGCGTTCGGGAAATTACGACACATCTTCTCGTCAGGTATACCTCAATCTCTGAAGACTAAGTTGTACAACCAGTGCGTGTTGCCAGTGATGACCTACGGAACCGAGACGTGGTCCTTCACTGCTGGCCGTATGAGGACGCTCAGTCGCTCAGCGAGCTATGGAGAGGGCTATGCTCGGAGTTTCTCTGCGTGATAAACTTAGAAATGAGGATATCCGCAGTAGAACCGCAGTGACTAACGTAGCCCAACGGATTAGTAAGCTGAAGTGGCAATGGGCCGGCCATATAGCTCGAAGAATCGACAACCGTTGGGGAAAAAAGGTTCTCGAGTGGCAGCCTCGTACCGGTAGACGAAGTGTAGGGCGACCCCCCCACTAGATTGGAGTGACGACCTGGTAAGACATGCAGGAAGTCGATGGATGCAGGTGGCTCAGGACCATGCTTTGTGGCATACCTTGGGGGGAGGCCTATGTTCAGCAGTGGACTTGTGAAGGGCTGTAATGAATGAAAAAATGAATGAATGCATTGCTCCATAAATTAATTACTATTTATGTGAAATCAAGTAACTGTCGTTACAAGCATGGGTTTAATCCTAGTATTCAAAGTATAGATATCTGTTCATATCAAAGCTATATGAGTTTATATGTGCAGTAGATACATAACATTTTCTTAAATATATTCGCGATGCTTATAGCTATTCTTAAAAATTTCTTCTAAGGGGCTTGTCACCATTGAAGTTATAAATTTCCCTTATATGCTCTCTTTTGCAAAACAATCGTTTTAAGGTCGCGTTTCAGCATAACAAAATCCCTAAAACTGTTTCAACATTGGCAAGACTTATAAACTTTCTTACAGCATATGCTGCAGAACTAAATCTACTTGCTAATTTAGTGCACAATTGGAGCTTCGCGTCAATAGTAATTACAAAAAAATCACTGGAATCCACACTACTCAACTCCCCATTTGCACATTGCTATTGGTATTTAATTTCTTTTTTTTTTGGATATGGGTGACAAATGAGCACACAGTTTTTTTGTTTTTGGATATGGGTGACAAATGAGCACACAGTCTACCACGAATCAAAATGAAGATGCGTTGTCACCCATGAGGACTAAGGTGGTATGCCTCGTTTCCAGTAAAAAGAGTCTCCTGTTCTCTACTCACCATGCGAAACACAGTAGCGTTAATTTGCTATATTACGCTGGTACTCTGTGACAACGTGGTCCTTCCCCGATCGAGAAGACCCATTTGTGCTAAAACTATACTATTAATATAGCTGCAGCATGGCTCTACCACATAATCTACTTCTCTTCTCTACCACCAATATTTTTTTACTGCTCCACAAAGTGACTTGGCCACAAAGCCGTGGCTTCGAATCCCGCACGGAACAAGTAATTGAATGGCGTACAATTGTTCATGGTCTAGATGTTTGTCCTTGTGGAATTTACAAATACATAGTATCACAGCATGGCAAGTATGTCACAAACATTTCATATTTGTATGTAAAATTAGAAAATACCTGTGGGTAGCAGCTGGTTGTAAAGTTATAGTTTCCATAATGAGAGGTATAAAATTGCTTACTTCTTGATGCACATTCTGTTTATATAGTTGATACATTAGTACAACGATAATTGGTAGTTCTTGTATTACTTTTAATGATAATACTGATCTAGGAATAAGATTATACTGAAATAAAAAAAATGTACTTATTTTATGGCAATTATTAAATAATATAAATTTTATAAAATAAATATAGGGAGTTGGTAATTTTTTTCCAGTAAATTCATTGTAAATACGATTCCGATGGCGATACAATGGAATAAATAGACATATAAGCCCTTTTTTTGCTTCTGGGGCAAAACAAACTGTAAAATAATTATTTTAAGTTTGTTTCCCATTAAAAGAGTTAAATAGTAGTATAAAATATAAGGAAGATATGAAAGATTTATCTATAGTACAGATTTTAATACATTTAAATAATGTACGAGGGTGCGTTTTTAAGTTCGCGGAATGTGGGGTAAGGAGTGGAAAAAAATCAAAATTTATTTTTCGGGCATTTTCTAATATTAATTTTTCGACTTTTGAATAATTTCCGAACCTCGATCGGCCTTCCTGACCGTGGGTCGTCTTCAAGTGACTCTCTGCCTTGTTTGAAAAGAGTATGCCACTTGCAAAGCATAGTTTTACTTGGACAAGAGTCTCCGTAAACGGGTGACATCTCTTCCAGTATAGTCTGAACTGATTTTCCGAGCTTGGTAAGGAACTTTATAATGGAACGGAACTCGATTTTCTCCGTATTTCACAATTTATTCCCGATTGATTTGTTTGATTGACGATAACTCAAAGACTAATGATCTAATTAGGATAAAACTTGATATTTATATTAATAACAAGTTGCTCAATTAGCACGTAATTCAGCGACGTCCCCACTTATTACTACCTACCCATTCCGTGAACTTAAAAACGCACCCTCGTATGTTTTCCCCAAATTGTGGCAGCATGATATTAAGTGAAAGGGTTACTAGTCAACTAAGCCAAGTAAAGATTACTGTTTTATTTACAAAAAAAATTGATAAATTAAATAATATTCAGAAATAAAAATACAAATAAAATACCAAAAACTTATTGCTTTTGGTATTTTTACGTATGTTTCACTTCTTTATTATGAAGATCTATATACAATCATTAATCAAACATAACAAATTTTATGCACATTTACATGTTTTTAATAATTTGCTTTTTGCATGCAAAAAAGGAGAAAACACATTTTCCCAGAAATGAAATCAAGCTTGATCGATTTTCCATCCCGTTTTGCAAACTCCTACATTGTCATTGAAATCATATGAGTGATTTTCGAGAATGTGTCTTATTACAAAAAACCTTGTAGTTGGAAGTGGAAGAATATTCACTATCCCATATCATCCCGTGGGTATTGTAAGAGGGGACAAAGGGTAGCAGCGTCTTCCTAATAATGACTAAAAATAAAAAAAACTGCAGTTACTAATCCGCTTGCCAAGCATGGCAACTATGACAAATATCCCCCCAACCCTTTGTAGTAACCTATGGGGTAGGCCTATGTTCGGCGGTGGACTTTAATAGGCTATAATTGTAATGGATTACAAACAAACAATTTTTTTGTAGAATAGGGGGTGACAAACGAGCACACACTCCACCTGATGGTAAGTGGATGCTGTGGCAATAGACATCTACATTTATCCTCGATTAAGAATCAAAACACAGATGTGTTCTCAACCCTGAGGACTTAGATGAATGCCTCGTTTCCAGTAAAAAAAGGGACTCCGTATTTGTACACTCACCATACATAACACAGCAGTATTAAGCTGCTATTTTACTCTGGTATTCTGTGAGAAAGTGGTCCTTTCCCAGTCGAACTGACCCATTCATGCTACAACCATTATATAGCTGCAGCGTGGCTCTACTACATATATAATTGCTTGAATATTGCTTGTATAATAGTATGGATTTAAAACTTACAGTAACAACACTGCCATCAAGTAATTTTTTTTCTGTGTGTATGGGCGTAGTGGTATATGTCTCTTGCAATAGTTGCTCTATGTTCACCTCTGATAGATCTTTTACTCGTATAGTAGGTTTGGGTTCAAAAATTTTGGGTAAATGATTAGGCAAATCAGAATAAATTCCTTTCACCCATTGTAGGAATTTGTGTATCTGAAAAATTAAAAATTCATATATGTCAGAATGTATGTATTATATAATACATATATAATATTTGATACACTGATAGGTGTGAAATAACTTACATCAACTTCGGCGCTGTAAGGAGGTCTGTATTGTTTGTGCAACTCCATGAATATCTTCAAACAAACCAACACATTCTCCTCATTTTCTATCTCCATCAACTTTAACATCAGGATAAGGATGCTTTTGACATAGGGCCTTAATGTCTCACTGATTGGTAAGCGGTGTATCATTTCCAGAATAAGTTTTCTTACTTGTTGAATGTTATACTCGGCAATGAAATGAGGCTCACCTTCTTGTAGTATTTTTAAAAAAATTTTGAGTGAATGGTCCAGAAATTGAGGATATTGAGATGAACTCAGAATGACCTTAAAAAAGGCAGATAATTTTTCTATTAAAATTACTAAAAATATTAATATATACCTAAGATAAATACTTGAAATAATTATAAATAATAAAAGAAACTTTATAATCTCAGGGACTAACATACATGCTTAGCTAATTAAATTCTGATTAAAATGGAGTTAAAATCTTTGATTGATCTGATTCTTTCTTTCCTGACTCACTAAAAAGTAAATGCGAGGATACTATCCAGAAACAAGTACTTCTCGTTTTCTAATGTTAAAAGCTTTTCAGCTCAAACACACAAATACAAATGATCTCAGTAATTAAAAATAATAATATCTTTAGAAGACCTAAAAAATGGAGATTTTAATTTAACTGTATGTTCTTTTTTATATGTATTTTATGCAATATCTTTGCCAGTTGTGAACCAATATTATTATTTTTAATATAATTTTGGAAAACCCATTCCACTAATTCTAGCTGTTTCTTCTGTCATTTCATTAATTCTGTTCATTAATTCTGTCATTCTAGCTGTAAACTTGAGCTTGTGATATTCTCTAGTTCACTCAAAAGGGTCAAAAAATAGCACTTCAATAAAAAGTAAAAGCCTACTTCAAAAACTAAAAAGAATAAAACATAACATAACAGCTTCTGAAATCGGGCCTTCAATCGTTCTATACACTACAAGCGATCTGCCATGGCTTCTTTTTTTAAAATAAATTATTTATTATGGATCAAACCTTTAGTACATTTTTCACACCCACCACATTGCGTAACAGTTTTTCGGCGGGATTAGTGCTCGCCTTAATACATTTGGTTCAAATATGTAAGTATACAAATCTAATTAAAAAAAAAAACCTGTGTAACTAAAAGCAAATTGTATTCAATTTTAAAGCAAGTATTAAACAATTATTTAGAACTTTTTTCTTTTCGTGTAGGGGTTGTTTGTAGTGATAGAAACAGGTTTTACGAAAACTTGTGTGTATTAGCCGCGCGAAGAAACTTTGCCAATGACTACCCCTCACACCTCCTTTATTTTATTATTTTATTATATTATAATACATAATATTTAATTTTTGTAACAATTCCAACGTTTCTTATTAAGTATACTTAACTAACATTAAATTTTATGATTCGAATTTGTCTATTGTACTAACAATCAACAATTGACGTCATGACTTCATCGGCAAAACTTCTGTGCACGGGTTATATTTAAAATACTTTAATAAATTGATGTATAACATGAGCGCTTAAAGCATGAACATTTGCTTTTTAATTATTTTTGAATGCTGAATAACTATCATCTCCCAAGTCTTTTCAGCACAAAACTCCAGCTATCCTCTGAGGTAAAATACTTAGGTCTTACCTTGGACAGTAAACTCAACTGGAATAAACACATAGAAAACAAAATCAACAAAGCTAGTAGAACTTTCTGGCAATGAGAAACATGACTGGCAAACAATGGGGTTTAACGCCAAAAATTATACTGTGGCTGTACAAAACTGTAATTTGGTCCATGATCACATATGGCTCTCTGGAATAGTGGACCAAAACGAAAGAAGCCACTACTATAAAAAAGCTTCAGCGTTACTAGAGATTGGCATGTATGGCTGCCACAGGCTGCATAAGAACTACACCAACAGCAGCTTTAGAGGCTGTACTGGAGTTAACCCCGCTTCATCTACACATACAACAAGAAGCAACTTTAGCTGCCATTAGACTCCTAAATCTTTTGAGTAAGAGTTGAGTCCCACAATTATATAATTGATAAAATTTACTCAAAAATTCCTATCTTACAAACCAAGTACAATAAGATCCCAAAACAATTTGTTTTCGATAAGAAGTATAAGATACAATTAAATGAAACCGACCAGCCAAAGGGATTAAACCCAACATAGCTTAGATTTTTCACAGATGGTTCTAAAACAAATGAAGGTGTAGGATCTGGAACTTTTTCTGAGGACCGTAATATCCACATATGTATACCGCTGGGTATCCTTAACACTGTCTTTTTGGCGGAATGTATGGGTATCATCCAAGCGGTCATAGCATGCTAGGAATGTAAGACTTCTCCATCAGAATACTGACCGACAGTATGGCAGTACTAAAAGCTCGAAGTTGTAATATGGTAAACTCGGGACTAATATATGAATGCCATCAATGATTAAATGAGGTATGTAAGCACAACAATGACTCTGCAATGTATTGTTACGCGCTCCAGTCAACGATACACTAGCGCCATCTAGTATCAGGAACGAGAGCGAGGGGAGCATTGAGAAAATGACATCACAAATTACTCAACCGACAGCGCCTAGTCGAAACTCGAACGCTCGGTACCTTGCCCGTGTTTACTTGAACATTCTGGATATTTCTTTGCTAATTTAAATATATAGGCGCTGCAAGATGCGATCGAGGCAGTGTTGATTTGGGCGAAACAAGCGAAGCTTCGGAGTGGAATTAAGTGAATTAGTGTGTTTAAATTATTAGTGTTTTAACTTTAATTGTGTAAAGTAAATTAAAGTGTTAATTTAGGTAATTTTATCGGCAATTTTTATTGTCACGAACCTCAAGCTCGTAACAATTGGTGTCAGAAGTGGGATAAAATCATGCCGATTTTACCTAAGGAGGAAACGGAGGGTGTCCGTACCCGAAGTCAACGCCAGCAGGAGACGGACCAACGAAGATTTAGTGGTGCAACGCCGCAGACGTCGGAGGACCAGCCACCGGCTGCAGGCCCGTCGGTAGCTCCTACATCTGCAGCACCTGACTTAGGTGCTCTGATGGTGATGCTGCAGGAACAGGCTCGCCAGCAGGCGGAACAGGCAAGCCGATTGGAAGAGCAGCTGCGGGGCGGACAGGATGAACAGGCCCGCCGACAAGAGGAACAGGCCCGTCGGTTGGAAGAGCAGATGCTTCTCATGAAGGACCTTCACGCTACCTTCGGGAAAGAGATAAGGGAGGTGAAGGATAGGGTTGCTCAGCATGACAACCGCCTGTCGGAAGCTGAAACCCAAATCGCGAAAGCTGAAACCCGAATCGACCAAGTGAACAATCGGGTTGACAACGTAATGGCTGACATGAAGAAATCACTGGACGAACTCAAACTTGGAGATGGAGCTACAGCTCCCGTAGTAGCTAGAACACCTTCGCTACGTGGGTTCAAGGTGCCACCGTTCGACGGTACCTCTTCCTGGTCGGCCTACAAAATCCAGTTCGAGGCCGTCATGGAGGCGAACGGCTGGAATAAAAGCCAAGCCATGACTGCACTCACCCTAGGCCTGCGCGACCAAGCCTTAACTGTGTTGGAAGCTCTCGGTAAGAAAGTGACCTATGAGCAGCTTCTTGAGGCCTTGGAAGCGAGATATGGCGACGCTCATCTGGAACATGTCTTTCGCGCGCAGCTTAAAGATCGCGTGCAGCGCAGCAACGAAAACCTGCAGCAGTGGGCCCTTGAGGTGGAGAAGATGGTTCGAAAAGCATACCAGTCTGTACCTGCGCTCATTGAAGGGAACCTGGTTCAGACATTCATCGACGGCATCCGTGACCTGGAAGTCAGAGCTGCTGTGAGGCTCGGGCACCACGAGACGCTTAAGGACGCCTTGGCCCATGCACTGGAGGTAGAAGCCGTGCGGCAGGATCATCGTTCCCATCGCGTCAGGGAGGTTGCAGCCGCTACAGTTCGCGACCGCAACAAAGGATACAGCCCAAGGTGCTATGGCTGTGGGGAAAAGGGCCATCTTCGAATCAGCTGCCCTAAGCGAACCGTTGAAAGGAGAGTTGATCGATCTCGAGAGGGTAGTGCAGCTAACGACACTGCCTGGCGGCGACAGGATCATCGTTCACCTCACGCTAGGGAGGTTACAGCAGCTACGGTTCGCGACCGCAATAAAAGATACAGCCCTAGGTGCTATGGCTGTGGGGAAAGGGGCCATCTTCGGTCCAGCTACCCTGAGCACACCCTACGAAGGGAAGGTGAACGGTCTCAGAAAGGAAGTGCGGCTAACAGCACCGCCCAGCAGCAGCAGGAATACGACTTTACTATCAGACACTGCAGCGGGAAATCTCACGGCAACGCAGATGCATTGTCAAGAAGACCTTGTCCTGAAGATTGCAACCATTGTAGTAGGCAAGAGAGTAAGGAGGTGGTATCCGTGAGGATGCTCAGGACAGACCACCTCAGCAACGGGTGGAAGGACAACCTACGACATGCACAGCAGGAAGATCCGGACATCAAGCCGATTCTGGGATGGATGAAGGCCCGTGCTACCAAGCCTAAGTGGAGGGACGTCTCAGCGATGAGTTCAACCACGAAAAGCTATTGGGCCCAATGGGACAGCTTGCTGATTCAGGATGGAGTCCTGTGCCGTAAATGGGACAATGGTCGAAGAGACAGCTGTCGTTTGCAAATGGTTGTCCCTAAAGCTAAAGTGCCGAATGTTCTACAGTTGTGCCATAATTGTCGTTCAATAGTCCATCTGGGAGTTAAACGAACTCTACTGAAGGTCCGAGAACAGTTTTACTGGGTCCATTATCGTGACGATGTCGAGGATTGGTGTCGTACATGTACAAGTTGTGCGGCCGAGCGGGGACCTCGGACACGTAGTAGAGGAGCACCGAAATTGTACAATGTTGGTGCACCACGGGATAGGACAGCCCTTGACATTGCGGAGCCGTTACAGAAAGGCGCAAGAGGGACTCCTAAGATCGTCCATGTGAATCGCTTGGCGCGTTATTATGGGGCCGATAATGCTCGGGACGAGCATGTCTTAGGAGGGGGCAGTGTTACGCGCTCCAGTCAACGATACACTAGCGCCATCTAGTGTCAGGAACGAGAGCGAGGGGAGCATTGAGAAAATGACATCACAAATTACTCAACCGACAGCGCCTAGTCGAAACTCGAACGCTCGGTACCTTGCCCGTGTTTACTTGAACATTCTGGATATTTCTTTGCTAATTTAAATATATAGGCGCTGCAAGATGCGATCGAGGCAGTGTTGATTTGGGCGAAACAAGCGAAGCTTCGGAGTGGAATTAAGTGAATTAGTGTGTTTAAATTATTAGTGTTATAACTTTAATTGTGTAAAGTAAATTAAAGTGTTAATTTAGGTAATTTTATCGGCAATTTTTATTGTCACGAACCTCAAGCTCGTAACAGTATTAAGGAACACAGTGGATCTAGAGGCAACGATGCAGCAGACGAATTGGACTGAAGGGGATTGGCTCTGGCCACTATAGGGCCGGAACCAATAATACCCTAATCCCCTTTGGTTATGTTCATTCACTGGTACGTAGAAACTTTGTTTATTTCAGGCAGGGCCTCTCTAGTTTTTCTATAATCTACTAGATTTTTCTAAAGCTGAGTGAGTAAATAATTGGTTTGATGACTGAGAGACCTAGGTTCTAATGAGACTGAACAAGCCACAGATCAGGAAAGTAAAAATTGCTATCACATTACATGACTCCTTTAACAAACATTTTTTTGCTATAAGTGTTACAGATAGCCCCCTGTGCAGGGGATGTATGGGTGAGGAAGAAATAGTGGCTCACGTGTTGCTGACATGTCCAGAGGTTACTACATACATGGCTAAACATCTCTGCATGCCGATATCACTCACCGAAGTTGCTTACAACAATTAAAATATATTATAAAGGACTATTGAATTTCTTCAGGGAGATTTCATGGCTTGAATAATCTCATTATTCTTGCCCACACACAAAGTACGTGCTTAGACATGGAGTTACAGAAAATAGCCCTTGTAAACTAAACTAAACTAAGGCATACACATTTGTATTTGGTGTACCTATAAATATTTTTTATTAAAATAAAATGTAAAGAAGTATATATGTGCCTAAAAATTATTTCCAAAACTGGGGTTCTAACCAAATAGATTAAAAGTACTTACTTCAAAATTTTCGCTAAGTTCTTGAGCTGCTTTAAGTTTGATTTCGTCTTTAGCACCTGGATCAGCTAACATGGTCACATAACTTCTATATGTATTCATTTGTGTATGAGGATCACCCGGACCCCCTGGAGCCATGGTGTTCATCATTTTAAGTTTCAAGGCCTCATAGGATCTGAATTTAAGAGCAAATAACATATACAACAGGCAGGTATTATAGGATAGATTAGATTACCATTCAATTATTAATTGTTTACTTAAAATTAATGACAGAAAGAAATATCCAAATAAATGTTAATTGATCATTCTAACACTAGAGCTTTTAGTAAGTATTTAAATTCTAATTTACTATCAATCTTTACTCAAATTAATATTGTACTTTGATTTGATTTCACCTTCCATTTCCTTTCCCGATTACGATTCCCGAATCCCAACTTCGCGTTCTGTACCTACATAAACTAGGGATGTTCGATGATCATCGATGTTCGATGATCATCGATGTTAGAAATTGAAACATCGATGTTTTAACATCGATGTTACCACACGTTAAACATCGAAACATCGATGTTGCCACATGTCAAACATCGATGTCAATGAACCAATAATCGATTAATAAGAACTTGTGAACAATGCGAACCCGCGAAATCAATATCACCTAAATATTTCATCTCCTATTAAAGGTTTAAAATTTTGAATAATTAAGGATTCCTAAATGCATCGATCACCTAAAACACTATCATTATGTTGTGTCAAACTACCCGTCGAGTGTGAACTGTAATGTCACTGTTGTAACTGCTTTCGCTTTGTTATTGTGGTGTCGTTATCGACTGTCGCCTAATAACTATTCTAGATAAATTGATATTCAAATTAATTGTTTTTTTTCCTTGCTGTCTATACACACATAATTTTGAAACAATATGTATCTACACAATTTAATTATATTTAGCTGTTTTTTTTGAGCTTGGGATAACAAGTTTATGGTTTTCTTGAAGTTTATCAGAATAAATCACTGGGAAATGGTGAGCATAGACAATTTCACTACAAAGTTCATTCTGCAGTGCATTTTATAAACGGCTGTGGATACTTACTGCCTGGGCTGCCAGATTAAAAATTGTGTGAACAAAGGCGACGGAAAAGTCTATTATGTTGTTTTTGTGAAGTTTGTTAATTTTTCCTCTATAATCATTTTTTATTTCGCGATAGGAGTTGTTAATATAACTATATATATTTCTAAATCCTAAATTAGGATAGTAAATATTTTAATACCAGATATATAATTGTATAGGAACATTTAAATATCAAAATAATAATATTCATCATTATCGGCAAAAATATAACAAATTAAATAAATATTTGTTAAGTTTTTCCCATTTTTTAAATTACTGTTTCACACTGAATGTGTTATTAATTTCATTAATTTCATAAATAATAAATCATAAACAACACTACAAATTTTTTGTACATCTAATTTTAACCTACTAAATAGGTACATGTGCTATAACATCGATAATGGCCAACATCGATGTTTTGAGTAGGATAAACATCGAACATCGATGTTAAGCTATCGATATCAACATCGATGTCATCATCGATGTTTCTGTAACATCGATCATCCCTAACATAAACACTACCACACCACCACTTTCAGTGGGTGCGTTTGGCAGAAAAAAGCGTTATCAAGCGCTTGTAAGCAAAATGGCCATCGTAAGCGGTAAGCGCTGTCAAATCGTAAGTAGCTATTTTCCTCCAGGACACGATGTTAGTTTTAACCGGGGAATCTAACCTAATTTAAATATATGTTTGTAAAGTATTCATATTAAAAACTTACCAATCATGAGTTTTTAATAGCATGTATATGTTTATTCATGTCATTATATTACTTAAAACTAATATTGCACAAAACAACTTATAAACTCTACTTCAAAACAAACAAATTAAATAAGCAAAATGGCGGATTGTGTCAGCGCTACTGAAGTAGCAATCGTGTCCTGGCCGAAAACTATTTTAGCGCTTATAAGCGCTTGCTAGCGCTTTTTTCTGCCAAACGCACCCAGTAATTTCAGTTTATACAAAGGTACCAAAGAGTATAATAAGTATATACAGAAAGGTACTCTGTGACCACCACAGACCACAGAACCACAGAGTACTTTTTGTATACCTGAACTGAAACCACAGAAGACTATAAGTATAATAATACTCATAGACAGAGAAACCTATAGACAAATTGACGCCTTCTTTCGCATTCGCACACGAAAAAGATAGATTTATGCATACGTCTTGCATAGAAATGAGATAGAGCGGTGTGATTGTTTGTCCCTTTCTCCGTGCCGGTTTTTTTGTTTAGCAAACTCTACAGTTTGCTAAACAACTTTAACAGCGTAGCGATTTAAGGAGTTTACAAGTTGGTTTAAGTGAGAAAAAAGTGTTTTGTGAGCTTAAGATTGGTGAATCTTGGTCAGTTCAGTTCTTAGAACAGTTAAAATTTTTATCTAAATGTGTTTAAAAGTCATAAAGATTATTTTATAACCTAAAAATTCGTTATCGTCCTTTCTCACTCGAGGCCACGCCGATCATTAGTCTATAGGTTTCTCTGTCTACGATTGTAGGGTATATGATAGTTATTTTCGTTATTGTGTATGTAGGTAGTGGGTACCAATAAAGCTTTCAGTTCGCTGTTCAACTCCGCCTTTTATTGACGTTACATTGGCGACGAGTCCGTAACCACGCGTTGTTTCGTATTATTCAAAACGTTATAAAGTGGTAGTAATTATGCCTATTGGTAAATTAGAGCCGTTCGATTTAGCCAGTAAACAGTGGCCCGCGTATATTCGTCGAGTTCAACAATTTATATTGCTAAACGAAATCAAGTCTGAATTACGAGTTCCTATGTTAATAACCGTGGTCGGCGAGGCGACATATTCGTTGATGTGCGATCTATGTTCTCCTGCACACCCGGAAGACAAAACTTTCGAAGAATTAGTGAGTTTAGTGTCGAGTCACTTAGAACCACAGCGTTCCGAGATTGCAGAGCGCCACGTGTTCCGCTTGCGCAGGCAACTCGGAGGTGAATCACTTGCCGAATATTTGCAAAATCTGAAACATTTGGCTTCGACCTGCAATTTTGGAGTGACACTTGAAGAGAATTTGCGGGACCAATTTGTATCAGGTCTTGCGAGCGAGGCGATGCGGTCCCGTATTTTTGCCGAAAGAAACATTCGGTACAAGGAGGCGGTGGAGTTGGCTTTTGCGCTGGAGGCTGCGGAGAGACACGCGGAGGTGAGTGGTGCCACGGCACCAGCTTCGACCTCAGGTGTTCGGAGCAGCAGTCTAGAAAGAGGCGAAGGTTTACATCAGGCCGGGGAGCGCCGAGGGCGGCGAGACCTACGCTCGGTCTCTAGAGGAGGCACCATGGAGACGCGACGGAGTCAGCGAAGCTCGGGGCCATGTTGGCGTTGTGGAAAGCCACATAGGGCGGATAAGTGCCGATTTGCGCAATACAATTGTGATAAGTGTGGTAGGCGCGGACATCTTAAGGTGATGTGCAAAGAAGTGCGCGACGGGAGGCAGTCGAGCGGCCCCCAGCATTATGTGAGTGATGTGAGTTCCGAAGGAGAGGATTTTTTTTAATATCCAGCTGAAAGCTAAAGGTAACGAGTCTTATAAATTAACTTTGAAAGTAGATGGACAGCCGTTAGTTTTCGAAGTCGATACCGGTAGTCGCATTTCGACAATAAGTGAACAGTTTTATTTGTGTCATTTTCCGTATAAATCCCTTATCAAAGATAATGTAAGATTACATAGTTATGTCGATTCGCGAATCGAATCTTTGGGTTTTATATTGGTCAATGTAGCATTGGGAGAGGTCAGAAAAAAAAATTGTTCTTTATATGTAATTCGTAACGGAGGATGCCCTTTAATAGGTAGACAATGGATTCGAGCTCTTGAAATAAATCAAATTAATATTAGTGTTAATGAAATTCTAGATGATTCATTCGTGAGCCGACTCATTAGCGAATTCCCCCGAAGTGTTTACAGATAAGTTAGGCACTTGTACCGAAAGCGTTCAACTACAGCTCAGTGACGAACAACCTGTGTACGTGCGCGCGCGGCCCGTGCCATTGGCGCTTCGATCCCGGGTCGAACAGGAGCTGAGGAGGCTTGAGGCCGAGGGTACCATTTTTAAGGTGGACCACTCCGAGTATGGTACTCCTATAGTACCGGTTATAAAAGAAAACGGCGATATACGAATTTGTGGAGATTATAAAATTACGATAAATCCAAAGCTCAAGCGGGAGTTTTATCCGTTACCGCGAATTGAAGAACTTTTTGCCAAATTAAGTGGTGGTGAAGAATTTTCGAAAATTGATCTAAAAAATTCCTATCAACAATTACTGCTAACGGAGGATTCTCGGCGATACACTGCAATTACTACACATCTAGGCACATTCGTATATCGTCGAACCCCATTTGGGTTGTCGTGTGTTCCCGAAAAATTCCAGAAAATTATGGAAGAGACACTCAGCGGTATACCCAATACGGTAGTTTTTTTGGACGACGTTTGTGTCACGGGAGCTACGCGAAATAAACATCTGAGTAATTTACGAGCTGTACTTGAACGGTTGCGGACTATGGGCTTTACCGTTAAATCCGAAAAATGTAAGTTCTTACAAAAAAGTGTAAAGTACCTAGGTTTTATTATTGACAAGCAGGGATTGCATCCCGATCCGAAAAAGATGGAAGCCATTTCTAATGCTCCAACACCACTGAATGTTACCCAATTAAAAAGTTTTCTTGGTCTCCTTAATTACTATGGCAAGTTTATTCCTAATCTCAGTACCATTTTACATCCCTTACATTTGTTATTAAACAAAGGAGTTATTTATTTATTTATTTATTTACTTTATTGGAGACAAAACAGAAACAAAAGATACGAAAGAAAAATATACAAGTAAAATAAGACAATGGTAATTACAATTGTTTCCTATAAGCTGTCTCACTAAGAACATGCATAATATTTATATTATGAAGCAGGTCGTAATTGGTATCGTCTGCACAACAAGCAGGGTAACAAGTCTGTACTTAAATAAAAAGAAAACAATCATCTGAAAACAATCATCTAACATGTACAATAATAAATACTAAATATCCTTATATATCTAATTCATGATTGCTACTAAAGTACTTTTTAATTTAGTTTTAGAGTTAATTGGAAATGGACTTCAAAATGCGAGCAGGCCTTCCGAGAAGCTAAAAGAGCTTTGTTGGGCGAAAAGGTTTTGGCTCACTATGAGGAAGGGCGGCCACTGGTTCTGTCGGTGGACAGCAGTGCGTATGGGCTGGGCGCAGTACTAGCACACGTATACCCCGACGGCACCGAGCGACCGGTCAGCTGTGTATCGCGTACG